GAACTATCATTATTAATGAACGACATATTTTAAAAATGAAATCTGAGATATATGAAAGACGTTTCTTTGAGAAATATCAAATTAAATTTTATTGAAATAAAATTTATAAAATTATCTCGATTGTACTAATATTTTATTTAATTTAAATAAAATATTAGTACAATCTAAAATTATTTTGATTAATAATAGTGTAATATCGATACGTTTTTCAATCAAAAATCGATGGTAAAGTTCAAGAATACGTTTCTAAAATATATTTCCATGATTTCGAATTATTCGAAATTTTAATTCAAAGTATCTACAATACGACGTATAGATGCGGACTCACCTAATCATAATATCTCGAAACGGGTTGATGTCGAACCAGCGGAAGCTCATTCAACCAGGAAACGATCAACAAATCGACACGACTCGAACCTTCTAAACACCCTTATCCACGTCGCGGATCTGTTACTTTTATTTTCTATCATACGATATGTAATATCAAACACGCGTGACTTGGCGACACATCCATAGAGACATAACTAAATCACGGAGGGGTCAGTTCGCGACGAGTATGTCTGTCAATCTGTTAGCAGGGTTAGTACTACTGGTACCGTTTCAGGGACGTCGAAATCGGGTGAACTCTAAATTCTAAGTCTCTCCCGATCGGCTGGGATTTTTCTTCGCATTCTTTATCGTCCATAAAAAATGGCAACTAAATACAAACACATTTTCTCTGGACTTGACGATTTATCGTGACGAATAAATATATTTCGCGACGTCCTTTGGGACAAAACCGAGGAAACGTTGAACGAATAAAGTCCTGTACATTCGATCTCTCATGTGGGTTTAATCTGCCATATTTTTGGAACAATTTATGCGGGCGATTAATATAAAGAAAGCGACAAATTTGTGATAGAAAAAGAGAGAGAGAGAGAGAGAGGGTTGGGCCCAGTCTCTGCACTCTCCTGTGCCCTGGCTCGTGTTAGATTACTGTAGAAGGCTTTATCCACTTTAGTCACCGACCGTCAAGCAATCATCCTATTGCCGTACTGTAGTGTCATGAATGACAGTAAGAAAATGCTACTGAGAAGCAGGCGATTGTCACGAGTTCCCCTGAAATATTGCGCGCTGTTTACTCGCGCCATGGTTTATCTTCCCACGGTCCAAATCGAGAGACAAAAATCATCCTCGTTTGAATCGTAATGTCTACACGGAGAGAATTTTCTCATAGAATTTACCCTGAAAATCATGCTAATCGTAGAACAATATTATGGTATTGGAAGAATGTTATAAGAGCTTCTTTGATTAATATATTTATCACAATAAAAAATATTAATATGTACATAGTAAAATTAATCCAACATATTTTGGTAGATATTAATATTTTTATTATGCTAAATATTATAATATTATATAATTAATATAATAATTAATTAACATATTATCTCATCATGATTTTGGGGCAAATTCTAAGAGAACATTCTTTCTGTGTATGTATGCGACAATTAAAAAAAGAAAAATAATTAATGCAATATTAATTTAATAATTCGATGACACGTACGAGGCGTAGATAGTAACGTTCTCCTCATTACATTATTATCTCCTCTTGTCCTAATTTCCTCTAAGAAGCGACACGAGGAGAAGAAATAATTTAGACCTCATCAAATTTCATTTACATATGACTCATTTTATTTTCCGAGATATTTCAACGTCTTCGCATGTAACTATATCTTACTCCGACGTGAAAGGCAAGATGTTCCCCTCTTCTGTCAATAAACAGATATCAAAGATGATCTATATAAATTAATTTTTTTGTCAAAAATGTATCGGGATTTTTCTCCGCTCGAAACAAAAAAAAAGAATTTTCTTTGTATTCGCACAGTAAAAAAATTTGTTTTCTTGTTAAAAACGGTCCCCGTTAAAATCTTTGTGTTATGTGTTAATTTAACAGATTGCTGTTTGTTAAATTATTAAAACAACTGAAAAAAGATATAAAAAATAACAGTGTTTTATTAGTGATTTATCTGTTAAAATTTACAGAATAAAATGTTGATTTTTTATTTTATAATATAAGTGAAGATGATAAATTAAATCTAAAATTATATATTTAACATATTATTATGTTAAATTAACACAAAAAATTCTATGGACCGTTTGGGACACATGATCTAATTTTAACACAAATTTTCCAAATGTCCAGAAACCTAAAATACAATGGAAAAGATGTTACTAGAGTGCAAAGATTTCCATTTCTGTCTTTCGTTCTCTCTAGACTAGTTCCGGAATCGAGTTGATATCGATAAATAATTAAAATAGACCGGCACGCGCGACCGTTACCTATTCTAAATAGTTAAACTATACATGTATATATCTATGTAAAGAGACGTAAGACACGATTGCGGATATATATATATATATATATATATATATATTATACGGTACATTATTAGTATCACCGGCAGCGATCTGGAACTGGTTCTGATCGACAATCGTGCACACGCTGACGTAGCGCGTCGGCTCTTGTTTTCTTATCCACCTAGTATGCATACATCCGGTCGATCTGTACTCCGGCAACTTTCCTACTTCATTCATGGACGCATTCAGTGGCCTTTGAAGGTTGCACCGCCGGCAGAAAGGAGTGGTAGGCTCCGGGTCGCGCGTGTCGCGGTAAGGAGGGGTCGGGAAGAGGGAGAGGTCGGCTACAGGACCGTGTGACTCAGGGAGGGAAACTTGCTCCTCGCAGAAGAGATGCTGTGCGGCTATATTACATATAATGCATAGATCACAAATACGTATATATGAATGAATTCGCGGACCTAAACCCTAATAGCATGCAACATATCCGAAAGATATCCAGAGGACATCCTCAAGATGTTCTCTGAACGTCTTCGGGATATGTGTGCTGTTAGGGTAATAATTTCTCTTATTTGACAGAATGTAGTTGCATAAAATATATATATATTTCAAAAGATAATTGTGAGAATTTAATTTGCAAGTGCAATGCTACACGTGTTATTTGTATGCATATATGCATATGTCATCGCGGGCGCGTGATCAGCTGATTACGACCCTGCGGGACCAATCGGCGCGGACCAGTTTCAGCATAATCCTTTCGTGGAAACGCACTGTAGAACCACCGCTGGACCACCGTGGTGTATGCGATGCATTCACTGAATATACCCCGAGTTGTCTCATTGTCTTTAGATTTAGATCCGAGAGCGCATGGATGTGTCTTATAAATCCCGAAATGTCAAACTGAATGTGCATATAAATATTTTATCATTTATTAATTCATATTAATCAGATCAAATGCAGTTGGAGAAGTCATTTCTATGTTGTCAATGAGATTCAACCCTTCTGTCAATGTATATATGTAATATAATTTTTACATCTTTTCATCAATGAGTACCCGAATACTCCAGCTGTGTTTTTTTATACTACACTGTGACAATTTCTTTATAACAGCTGGTGGGCACCGAACAGTGTGTTTTTCATTATATATTTTAAAAGGTTTCCGAGTATAAAGGTCCTTTGTGCTTTATGTTTCGGCCGAAGGAAAGTTACACATTTTTGACATGTCAAGCTGCTCTGGAGACCCTGAGAGGGAAAGGTTTCATTCATTGACAGAAGAGTTAAATACCGCTTTTCTCCTTTAAACACTACTGAGCCAAATTGTGAATTCTCGAGCGATTTAATTAGTCAATTTCATTGTGGATGATTTCAGTCTCGTGTGTGTGCGTGTTTTGTGTGTTACTATGTAAGTTCAGCCGCGAGACTTTCACCGGTTCTCGTGTTGCTACGGCGAATAATGCATTTCCCTTTGCGAGTATCCACGCGTGCACTGCAATTCTCTCAGGAATTCGAGAGAGAAAGAAAGAGAGGGGAGAGAGACGCTGGAAAGCTGAATGAATACTAATCTGTCACCGGTGGCGTAAGCGCAGCGTTCGAGAAGAAATACCAATGTCTTAAACTGTCATCGTTTCTCTCAAAGTTGCATACATGAACGAACAAAGAGGATCTCCCTCGTTTAAAAAAATCTCCCTTCGCGACAAAGATCGTATACTTATAATAGTCATACGCATATAGTAGGAGAGAGGAAGAGAAAGAAGGAGCTCCGCGCGCGCGTTCCAACGAAAATTCCTGCGCCAGCTTCCCACACACAGGTATACCGCTCCAGGTATAACCCGCTCTCGCGCGCACGTGCGTGAGAGCGCACGCTAGAAAGGGTTGAGGTTATCGGCGGCGGCGCCTGGCTTGGCCTGGCCGAGAAGGAGACGCGAGCGGCCGCGCGAGATAAAGACAGAGACGGGACTTTACCACTACGACGACGCCGCCGAGTGTATGCACACGGTGCACGTGTCGAGGCAGCGCGATGGTGGGGAGAAAACGTGAATGATCCATAGAGAGTCGTCGCGATGGTGTGTAAAGGTGTGAGAGTGGCCGCTCGCTTGCCGAGAGACCGCTCCGTGTGTTCCTCAGGGTTTCTCAATTCCGTTCTGCGCGCCCTCCATTCGCTTCGATACGAGACCGGTCGATGTAATAAGTGTTTTACGAATTTTATATTTTTAATTATAAACTAAAGGAATAATTAATTATATATATTAATTAATATATAATATATAATATTCATATTTTTACTTTTTTATTCTCTAATTTATCCTTATATTAATTTATTTATTCAAAATTTTATTTTAATAAACATTTCAACAGTTTAATATTTTTATTGATAAATTAAATATTCATAAATATCCCCCATTATACAATAAAAAATATTATATATTATATTGCAGAATCGGTGTAGCCGTTCGCGCGAATGACATTTTTCGAGCTGTCAAACGTCAAACGTCAAATGTCATTCTCACGTGTCAGATCAGACTTTGACGTTTGGCGAGGCTGAAAGACACTGGGCTACGTCATACACTGCTTGGTGGGGTAGAGTCTCTCCGAGATAAGCGGTGGTGGTATATAGTGATGTGAAACATTCGTGAGTCGGGCTGGCCAAGGGAGCGGTACGGGAGAGAGAGAGAGAGAGAGAGGAAAAAGGGAGAGAGAGAGAAGTTCGAGGTGCAACGCGCGGAGCGAGAGCGGAGGAAACGGCGCGGTTTCGGCTTCGGAAATGGCCGCGGGAAAGTAGAGAGCGGCATAGCGTTTCGTCGAGCGGTTGTCGGCCGGTGAAGCTCGAAGAGAACAGTTTTTGGAGCGAAGCCATCGCTCGCTTCACCATCCCGGCTCATCGTCGTCATCATCATCGCGCGCGCGCGCGAGATCGATTCACGGACTGGACGATCTTGGAGGCTCCAGAGTGCGAGAGATGTAAGAACGGTATGTAAGAGTACATGTAAGTGTGTATATGTGTGTCTCACGACAACCCGAGAAGAGACAGAACGGGAACCGTGTATAACGCGAACAACTTGGCGATAAGTTGGTGCGGGCCGGAATAAGAAGAGAAAATCTAATGATTCCTCTCTCTGCTTGTGCGACAGACAGACAGAGGATGGCCGGCGACGACGGGACAACCATGAACAATGACATTCTTGGCGCACAGGACGGCGCGGAGGAGGGGCAGAGTACGTCAACGCGAGGGGAGCTGCATTCCAGAGTGGGCGGCATTCTGGAATGCGATCCCCCCGGTAACAGGAATTCGTCGAACGAGCGAGCAGCCGCCGACGACGACGAGGACGGTGTCTGCCGATATGCGGTTGGCGCTGCCAACCGCGCTATGTCTTTCTTCGAAATGTGTCAGGTATCGGCTATTTGCGCTCATCGCGTTTATTTTCGGTACCGGTAGATCAGTGCGCAAGTAACTTTCCCAACAAATCGTCGTAAAATCTCGTTTCGCATTTCTAGACAAGATGTCTTGTATCTTTCAGCTTCGACTTCAGCATCTCTTTCCACAATTGGGCTCGACACCGCGATACAACATTCATGACGATTGCATAGAAACGACCGCGGAGAGTGTAGCAAACGATGTAATACGGTACTTGTTGAAGGAGGATATATATCTCATATCCCAGGATCCAGTGTCCCGTAGTATGAGGCACAATGTATATCAAATGCTCAACAAGCATAGCATTCTCTTCACGAGTATGGTGAACCGTTTGAACGTCGTTCCTGACACTGCCTATGAAACATTTATGGGAATTGCCAACGAACTGTTCTTACACGGCGTTATTACATGGGCTAGAATTGTTTGCTTGTACGCTTTCATGGGCAGATTAGCCTTATGGGCTAGAGACAGAAGAATGCACAGTCTTAAGAGGAAGTTGCCACTGTATGTTTCTAGATACGTTGGCGAAAATATAACGCATTTCATTAAAGGATACGGTGGGTGGGTAAGTATTTATCGTTCTGTAGAAGAAAAACATGTTCAAACTCTTTTACCTGTGATACACATACCTGGTTTTTTTTGTACAGGAGCAATTGTGCGTAGAATATCCTGTGGCTGAAGAAATTGGTGGTGCAATTTGGAGGAGTCTCTTAATGACAGGAGCCACTCTTGGTTTGATCGCTACAATCTTGTCGGTGACTTCCTGATGGAGCCTCAGAAATCTTGTGGTTTGAGTATGTTTTGTCCACGAAATCACGGCGTACTTACGTTCTATGAAAACACGTGCAAAAAAGAAATGTGAACAAATTTTTTAATTATAACGTACGTACAATATTGCAACATTTCACACGAACATTGGAACGATTCGATTGAAATGGAGAGTTTGCTACATCTATATGAGAAACATACAAGATTAACAAAAGATAATTCAACGCGTTGACACACATAATTTTCATATCAACGTCACTCTGCTTAGAATCGTCCTACTTTTTATATAACTCCAGCCAGCATATATAGCATGAGCGACAGACAATGACGCTAGTTTCCTATTACAATACCTTATAATACACAAACTAGTGAAATTATATATGTATAGTAAACAGAATATATCTTATTTAATACTATAATAGACATTTTTTAAATATAATTTTTTTTAAAATATTAAAGTAATTTTAACAATAATACTCAAAATTGAAGAAATTATGTTAGAAATTTATATAACATAAGAATGAATCTCTTTCTCGAAATTTTATTCAATTTAGGTAGACGCAATCTATTTATTTATAATTTATTTTAGGTAGAGAATATATTAAATAATAAATTTTTCGAATATCTTTGGTTGTAGAACTGGTTGCATTCAACACAATTTTACATATATAAAAAATACTAAGAAATATATGTAAGCGATGAAAAGGAAACACAAGAAATAGCTAAGAATTATACCCCGTGATACATATATTCAATAACGGCTACTTTTTTTACATGTCGATATATTCTATTATTATACTCTTGCAAAAATTTTATATTCAGAATAAATACTTTTATAAAACAAAGATCTTTTTTCTATAATTATTGAAAATAAAGAAACAGGAAAGAAAAAATTTAAACAAATATCTATTGCAAAGATAAACTTAGTTGATAAGACAATTAATTTCACAGTGAAATAGAAAATTTAATTTCTTATTTTTCCATCTGCGTGCGTGTGTGTGTGTGTGTGTGTATGTGTGCGTGAGATATTTGCACATATGCATTATTCGTATCTGTTAAAATGTAAAAATTTTTTATATAATATCAAATACTATTATCAATGGAAATTTACAGGGTAGAACACATACAAACTGCTGTTGCTATCAAAATTTTAATATAATTTTATGCTACTAGAAATAAAAACTGCGCTCACACATGAAACTATACAAAGACTTACTTGATACGATGTAAGTTCATTTGTTTTCTTGAAAAACACATTGAATCAACTTTGTAGAGAGCATTTTTAATGTATCATTATAAATTATAAGTAAAATAAGTTTTATAATATATATATACACATAATACACATATATGTATATATATATATATATATATATATATATACTGTTGCATTATGTCATGTCAAAAGGGGGGATCAGTCTTAATTACTACAAAATACTGTAAACGACATATTTCTAATGTATATATGTTTGCAAATAATCAAAAATAATAACTTCATATATGTGAAATAATCGTTATTCCTATTACAATAAACATAATCCTCCTAATTATATAATCTAAAATATTAATTAATGAAAAATACATTAACGCATTTCACGCGTTTCATTTAATGTTAATAGCATTTTTAAAACAACACATTATTTTCTGTAAAAATGTATTGTAATGTGTAGAAAAAACTAATCATTTTTCAATCACCATTAAATTTTCACACATGATCTGGATAATTTAGTTTAAAATATTATTTACAGAAGATTATGCTCTAGGTATATTATATAGAAATATATATTCTCGAACTTATCGAGTTATCTGTAGATGACTAAATCATTTCAATTATAAGCATTTGATAATATAATAAATATATTGTTATAATAGGATGCTGTGGGATAATAATTTGCCTCTTTATTTCTTAATCAAAGAGGAGGATACATTTCTGCCAAGGAAATATATTAACTGTCATTTTCAGCATCATTAAATCTCATACATATTTTCATATTCATGAGACTACTGAGATCTAAATCATTTAAGATTTACAGTGTATGTATATGAATATATATATATGTAATATTTACAATATACATCATGTATTTGTAATTATGTTAACAAAAGGCAACATCGAACAATGATGAGAAATCTATTCCTATTTAAGGAGATATCTGATAAAGATGATAGTATCATATTATATGATAGTATCATGCTGATTTATATAACTATGAAAGTAAAGCCGCGTAATTTTCTTCTATATTACAATTCACTAATAAAATAGTTTTTTTAAATATGCAAGTTTTGCAATGTTTATGAAATACTCATAAAAATGAGTAAATATTGAAATTTTTATAACATAAAAGTTTGCAATCTATATAAATTAAAATACAATCAAACATTTGCATCATCGACAATAGTGCTTTCTCAGATATTTGTTTGATAGTTTGACAGCTAAATGTTTCAACTTCATATATATGCCACACATTATATTTTCGTGAATACGAAAACTGTCGGCCCAAAAAGCACAAGTTCGGGTCATGTCACAATAAATTTTGAACATTTATGAATTTTATTTTCATACAGGATCATATCAGAGCTCTCTTACTTAATTCATGCTATTGTATTAATTTACGAATTAAGTGAATATAAATTATAAAATGACAAACTAGAGAATTTTTTTGCTGGCGGAAGTATATCTAACAATTAATTTTCTTACATCTAATCAAATTTTGCAACTGTACAGAAAACAACTGCATTTTAACTTTTATTTCAGATTCTAATATGTATGATAGCAAGAACCAACACACAAATTCCATTTAATAAATCTTCAAAATTTTCTACGTTTACTTTTGCTATTATCAGTATTACTATATTTAAATATGCACTTTTATGTATGTGAATATTTATATATATACATATATATTGAAAAAATATATAATATATTTATATAATATATGATATATTATATATATTTATATAATAAATATATAAAATATATATATAATATACACATACATTAACTGTACAAATGGAACTCATTTCGTCTGCCACTTATATTGACGATAATAAGTCGATAATGAATACTTTATTATAGTCATCAACCTTTAGTTAGCTAATGGTACATAAAACATATCGTCAGCGTTATGCAAATAGATAACAATTAAATTAAGTAAAAAAATAATACTAAAACAAGAAAATAATAAGTAAAGTATAACTCTGAAACAATTATTTAGATTAAAAAATCTCGTTAAAATTTATGTAAAATTTCTATGAATATTTTAATTGAAGTATAGTAATATACAAAATATCTAAAATATCATTTCAACAAAGAGATGTGTATTATATAAATTATAAATTCTATATCAAGTGAACATTTAATGTAGAAATTATATATATATAATATAATATAATATATATATATATATATATATATATATATATATATATTCAGAGGTTAATATCTAATTTTAAAAAATCAAAATGTAATTATGCAAGTTAAGATAAAAATATATTGTATAATTTATCATTTAAATTATCAAATTTTATATAAAAACAATTATTTAGAGAAACTATTATAATAATACGAGTATTTTATTAAAATTTGGTATTTTATATGTTCTAACCTGCACCCTGCACATAGTGTTTTATATAGAGATGCAATATGATACGCGTGAAGTTATCACAAACTTGGCCCCCTTTAAACTGCGCAACGTCAGTATGATCAACATACAGAAATATATAATTTATATGTAAAGAAATAAAAAATAAATGAAAAATAAGTATAAATAGAAAAATTTTTTTTAACTATATTTTATATTAAAAAAAAAATTGTTAATAATACAAACAAGGAATTATTTCAATTTTTATCAATAAAATTATACATAGCACTGACGATACGCGTCTAATAATTTAGTGTCCCTTAAAGATTGGCAGTTATAGCCTGGACGTATTGTGGTCCAAAAAGAGCAAAACAGTTGAGATGTGATCCATCTTAATTGTATACATACCTGACTTTTATATTTTAAACAACTATTCTTAAAATAGGGAAGAAAATCAATCGGTATTCAAAAATTTCAATTGATTAACATCAGTAAAATACATTAAAATATTAAATTTTTTAGCCGAGTTATTTTAAGATATCACTAAACATATATTAATAATATTTGACCAATAATGATGCGCAATGTTGTTCGTCTTAACGAATATAATTAATATTCTTACCATTATCTAAAACAATGGGGGCATTTTCATCAAAGATTAAGAATCTATAATGATGTACAACACACAGCAAGCGCAAATTAAAATATTGACCAACTAACTTGTTGGTAATTGGATTTGAATTTTAATATTTCGAGTTCAATATTTATCATAAATGATAATATATGTGTGTGACCACAGAGCATATTATGTATAAAGTGCATACTGTACATTTATCACTTTGTAACACAACATACTCTATTTCTGTCTCTTGTCATTAGTTCTTTCTTTTTCAGTTTATCACAGCTGGGGCAGAGGTGGGAAGGAAGAGAACTCGTGTGTCACACCCCAAGAAATGAAACTAAATAAAGATTCTCTATTCCTTGTAATCCCACCATTCTTTCTCATACCCTTCATGTACATGTTCTAAAAGCACTTTCCTTCGACTATCGCAGTATCTTCAAAAGCAAATAATGTTATCTTAACATTGTTACAATTGTAAACAAGATATCTCATTTTTTTTTTTTTAAAGAACAGTATAATCCTTACCTATATTTATCCTGAACCTTTTGTTTAATGTCTGCAAGATTTTCACTCGTGATATCCCTCTCAAGATATTCAGAGAGGCATTCTGTGGCACTCTCTAAATCCTTTTGGTTATCTTCAAAAATCACAGATTGATTATTCTTTTTCACGTAATAAGCAAAGACATAAGTATACATGAGAGTCTGTCTACAGGAACACAAAATGTCGACTGCTTTTTTCAAAAATTGTACCTGAAACATGAAAAAGAGATTAATTTACATAAATTTATATTATATTATAACATTTATATTATGTTAATATTGATATACCTCAATCCATGACATATTGTGCTGTTGCATTTCTTCCATCTTTTCCTTTACACTGGCATACAATTTACTCTCAAATTTTAGTGATTGCATATGATTCATATATCTATTGCAATAAAATAAATATCTCTGTAAAGCTGATCTGGATTTTTCTTGTGCATTTCTAGCTACTTTAGCTTCTTCTTCATCGTAGCGATTACAATTATACCAACTAGAACCATGTGGTTCCCAGGGACCAAGACACACCCAGCAGAATTCAGTTTTACAATTCTGATTTTTGCAAACCATGTGATTACATCCACCATCCTTCTCGATCGTAACATTGCATTTAGGACATTCCTTTGTATTCGCAGCAATCCAATTTGACGTTTCGGAATCGTCGTCGCACTTTTTGATCCATTTTCGGAGTAAATGACACTTTACAGGATCGTGCCAATTTTCACCACAATGGAAACAGAAAATATGTCCACATTTACAAGTTACTGGTCTTGCTTCTACATACTGTACTTTAACAGCATTATTGCAATCGGGAGAAGGACACCATCTCAATAACCTATTGCACTAAAAGAAAAAAGAACACACATAAGACATTTAGATTTATAATCCAATAAAATGTATTCAATAAAAATTCAACTATATGCATTAAAATATTTACTTCGACAAAGCTGTTTGTGATTAAATGTTGATATTTTAATTTAACTTTGGAATCTTTGACAAGCCGCATAACACTGGCGTCATCTACTAAAATGTCACAAGCATGAGCAGCACATGCAATTGTTTGTCCAACTCCTTCTTCCATAATTTTAGTAGTCAAATATTCTCCCCAGCAACCAGTACAGAAACGATGTCCACATTCAAGACCAGTCATCATCTAAAATTTTTTACAGTTTTACAATTAAATCTCGTTCTTTATTAATAAATCTATTTTTTAAAGTTTTTTGTTACAATAAATTTACCGAAGATGGTAGAATCATAAAACAGATTCCACATTCTTCTGTCCCATTTGTCGTTCTTTTGGACTGTTGAACATCAGAAACAAAAATTAATTTCATTGCAATTTGTTAACAATAAAAGATATAATTAGAATAAATTATGCACAATTACCAAAGAACTTTGAGAAGATCGACTTCTACTTATTAAAGGACCTTTTCTAAATGGATTAATGACACGTGCTTCGGCAAATAACTTTTCTTGATCACCGTCATAAAAACGCTCCATTAATTTTTCTTTATCCCACTTGAAGTGATTTAATAAAATACGTGTAGTTGTTGCTGGTATCTGGTAGATTAACATAAATACATAAAATATGTATATCTCTTTCTTTATCTCGAAATGTTTATACTCATAAATTACTATAAGCTGTAAAAGCTTACTTCGACAACAGTGTTGACTTCCTTTATTGAATCAACCATGTCCTGTACAATCTCTTCCGTAGAAAGCACATCAAAAGGATATTCATCAACATCAGTAGCTCGTTCACGTGGGTTACCAGATTCTATTTCCATAGCAAAGTCAACATCATCTCCACTTGATTCATTACCAGAATCAACGTCATCGTAAAGTGTTTCCTCTTCTGAATCCATCGTTGTGAGAAATCAACAAGCAATCTCTCTAAAGCTTTTTCTCTTGATAGAACAATATATGCTGCACCTACACACACAGAATTGGATACAAAAAAGTTGTAAGAGTATCTTGGGGGAAGTCTACATCATAATATGTTTCATTTAGTACATTTTATATGAAAACACAATCGTACAAATATTCATTTAAATAAACAATAGATGTAAAAAATAACTACTGTATTAATAGGATAACGCACGAATTTTCATTAAATTAATTACGTTTTCACGTGTAGCTGGGTGAAATTAAATCGTAGAAAATCGATCTTTGTCCATCACGTGGTCGATATAAACCTCGACGAGGTGCAAAAAAATTCGCTACTCCGAAAATTCGATACGCGCAACTGCCACGAGAAAAATAGCTTATGTTTCAGGATATGACGTCATCGTTCCTTGATGCTTTCCCAATAAAGCATCCCAGAAAGAGAGGTAGCCACTTCGAAGGAACACGTGGTCACTTAATACGCGCGAAAAAACCGAGGCACGCGACGAGATTTCAAGCCTTTTCGGCCGAGTATGAAAGGGAAAAAATTTTTTTCAAACGTTTCTCTGTTACAAGAGAGAGAAAGGGGGAGCGAAATCAGCTGCCAAAACATCCGAACATGAACTCCGGTGGCTGATCGCACTAACGGCTAATCTCACGGCGAAAACGAACACGGCCAGCCAATTGCAACATTTATTACAACAGACACACGGGGACGATTAACAATAGGCACGCGAAATTGATATTCCGTGCTGTTAGTTTTCGTCGAGGCCAATCTTACAAATGTCTCTAGGAATATGACGGGTTGTCACGCGTCACATTACGCCGAGATGTCGCGAGAGAAAATACGCTTCTAAAAACGATCAGAGGCCATCGGAAGAGTCGATTCCGATATTCGCCGTCCGACAAAAATAATACATGCGCGAAGGACGCGAGCGTGTCGCAATTTCGGCTTCGCTAATTAGTGCGCGTTATAATAATAAAGCGCGATGACAGGCGTATTATGATTCAAGGCTGGCGATCGTTGAGATTCGACCTCGCGTTATTGAGAAAAAAACACCTCCGTTTAAAATGGACGAGAGACTCCGATGTTTTTCCTTTGTAAACAAGTCATGTTGAAAAAAAAATCTCGTCGAGTTTCTTGCGGGATGATTCACGGGATGAACAAAGAGATGCACGAAAATAATTATCCAAACCTGTATTACATTCCTGTGTATTGTGCGTTTTTATTTGAAGAACAGTCGGAGTAATTTTTCTCTTTCAGCGTTGAACAACAAGGTTATTGTGCGATGTCGACTTGAAAATGTCACACTGCGAATATAAATATCACCATAGCACAGCTACGAACAAACGATCCACGCTCATGCGTCCCTTTTCCCGTCCCGCGGAAAATAAACCACGATAATGCAACCTCGAGGAACGCGTGAAAAAAGAGAGAAAAAAGATAGAGAAAGAACGAAAGCGTTGAATCGAGTCTATAGCGCGAATACTGCTGCCACGTCCACGATGACGACGACGCGCGTAATCGGAACTTTCGACAAATTGTTGTCAAATCAATCGATTCACGTATTTCGTAATAAACACGAGATGTGAATATCGCACGGGGAATTTCGAGAACGATAAAGAGAGAGAGAAAGACGGATTGTTTCGTGAGAAACGGCGGGACGCGTTCCTACGAAACGTCGGTACTTGTCGACGAACGCTCGCGGACTGCTGCGCTCCGCGCGGCCGTCTCGCCAACTAGTCCCCCCTCCCCCTCCAATTCCCGGCGCGCGCGCGCACCGTGAAGTTGGCCGCGCGTCGCGTCACGTGACCCCGCCGTCTCGCCATGCACAGCTGATGCGCACGCGACCGCCTTCGCGCTAGTTCACTGCTCGCCGCGTTCCGACCGTGCATTGTTTACTTGCGAGCGTTTTAAATCTGGGCGCAATTACGCTTTAATGCCACGAACCGACACGCCAGAATGATTCCTCGTGCTTTCTCGCGTCCGTAAAGATCGCGACGGTCGTTATTGTTGTTTTTATTTTCGCGTACGTCTTCGTATAGCATAATCGGCGCTAATAAATACGTTAACCTACAAATTGTATATACATCAGTTTTTTCAAGCACTGTCGCGTGAGTTATTTTTTATTATACACTTTTCGTTTAATATATATGCATTCGAATGAAAAGAGAGATTTATTATAATTTCGCGGTCTATATATAATACAATAGTATATATAATAGTTGCGTTTCCGGTTTTGTGTGTTGAGAGAAGAGGAGAAACTTTTGCTCTGCGTTGAGGATTGTGTGTTTGACACAGTTTTTTTTTCTCGTTAGTCTAATGATTTATCTTTCAATTTTTGTTACGAACAGCATTGCGATATTAATCTTATATATTCGTTGAGATATAATATGTGTGTGACACAAAGTAATGCGCATGAGCAACACGCGTGTGTTATTAAAGCAAGAATTGTATACTGTCATCTACAGTAGCTTTTACGATGTTTCATTAGAAATGTCGCGATAAATTAATCTACTTTTCAAGAAAAATGAGTCTACCCACCGTGAGTGATTATTCCATGCTGGAAAAGATTGGCACTGGAAGTTATGCGACTGTATACAAAGCATTTAAGAAGGTACGTGTGAATTTTTTATCTTAAAAAAATAAATATATGTGTTAAAACCGAATATAGTTACAAAATTATCTGTTCGTTGCTTTTGCGTTTTCTTAAATTTTCTGCATAATAAAATAAAATTAAATAAAGTAAATAATATATTTGTAGAAATAGAGAGAGAGAGAGAGAGAGAGAGAGAGAGAGAGAGAGAGAGAGAGAGAGAGAGAGAGAGAGAAGCGAAGAAAATAGAGAAAGTGCAAGCGGAACGAATAGATTTAATATTGTAGTTATTATGGTATAAATGTACATACATATATATGTGTGTTTACTTCTTATCTATGTGTTATATGTACAAAGATTTCCTGGTTTTCCTGTATGCATAATACATAAGATATATTTCACAAAAAGATAAGTTGCTCGAAATGCCGATAGCATTTATGAACACAGTGCCGGACTTGCTTTCTTCGGCACCACCGGCACTCGACTTTCAAAATAACTTTCAAAATAATATCTCACGATGAAATTTTTCAGAGAAAAGATTACAGAGTATATTAATTTTGAGCGTAAAATATATCACGCAATGCGGCTGTGTTTTTGTTTAAAAAAATATATTTCTCTCTCTAATTTTTTTTGATAGAAATTTAAGATATTGCATTTGAATACAAGTTATGAAATCTTTAAAATCATTATCACTTTTTTATAATCATCCTTAGGGTGGGAGTCGAGAGATAGTCGCTATCAAGTGCGTGGATAAAGGCACGCTTTCAAAATCAGCAATCGACAATCTCGTGACGGAGATCAGGCTGTTAAATGTCCTCAAGCACGAGTATATCGTAGAGATGAAAGATTTTTTCTGGGATGAAGGGTTCGTTATATCTGAGACTTTACGAGATATATTGTAACATAAATTATTTTTTTAATGTCGATGAATTATTAGATTAATCGTAGACAATTTTTTGTAAATAATAAATCACTGTGTGTTAGCACGTATTTTTTTTTCTTCTGAAAAAAAAAATATATAAAAAAATACACGTGTATATATATATGTACGAACAGGCATATATATATCGTCATGGAGTACTGTGACGGTGGAGACTTGTCGAGCTTTATAAAGAAAAAGCACAAGCTACCCGAAAACATTTGTCGCAGATTTCTGCAACAGCTCGCATTAGCGTTGAGATATTTGCGCGATCATAATGTTTGCCACATGGATCTCAAACCGCAAAATTTACTCTTAACGAGAAAACCTCAATTAACACTCAAAGTTGGAGGTCGGTATATATTAATCAATTAATTTTTTTTTCTTTCATCTGTACAAAGAGTATATCTAAATAAGTGTGAAAAATTTTAGATGATTCTTCGTTGAAAATTAAGGAGGGGTTCTTATATAAATATATACTCTTTTTGTTATATCCTTCTCTAAAAAATTACACTTTTCTAAAGAGAAAAATAAATTTTTATTTTTTTTAAATGGCGAAAAATATCCACCAAGTTTTATTTTTTTAATGTGTGTCTGAAATTTGAGAAAAAAAAATAAAAACTTAATTTTACCTCTCTCTTTAGAAAAGTGTAACTCTTCAGGAAGGGATATAAGAGCATATATGTTTATATAAGAAATCTCCCTTAATTTTTGATAAAGAATCATCTCCTAAAATTTCTCGCACTTATTTAGACACACTTTGTATACTTACTATATATTTTCTAGAAAAATTGGAGAGAAATATTTGTGTTTTGTTTTAACAGGACGATACTCAGCGGCGAATCATTACTTGTTTCATTCCTCGCCATTTCAGATTTTGGTTTCGCGCAATATCTCTCAAATTCGGAGCACAAATTCGCGATACGTGGTTCGCCCCTTTACATGGCACCCGAAATGCTGTTGAAACATAAATACGACGCTCGTGTCGATCTGTGGAGTGTCGGCGTGATCATGTATGAGTGTCTTTTCGGGAAAGCTCCCTATTCTAGCAGCAGCTTTCAGGAGCTTGCAGAAAAGATCAAGGACAGCCAACCTATTGAGGTGATTGAGATCTTATTTTACTTGTATTATGTGCAAATATAAAGTTCCGTAATGTTTTTTGTTTATAACTTTAAAGCTCAGATAAAGCAAAAAAAAATAATTTTTTTTTTCAGGTAAAGGAAAAAAAAATGAATTCCTTTTTCTTTCTCATTCGTCTATAAAGGAACACAAAGATTTGTCCCACTATCGTCTCTCTCTTTTTTTGGTTCTTTAGACTTCGAGCCTTTTGTTCTCAGTTGTTCTAAAAAAACAATTTTTTTTTTCAGGTAAAGGAAAAAAAATATGAATTCCTTTTTCTTTCTCATTCGTCTATGAAGAAACACAAAGATTTGTCCTACTATCGACTCTCTTTTTTTGGTCCTTTAGACTTCGAGCCTTTTGTTCTCAGTTTATTTTTGTTATTTTTAGGAAACCCAAGATTATAAATACTTAAAAGAATTTGACTTGAAAAGTACTGACCATTCCAAATAGAAAATCTCTGTTGAGACTAGTCAAAGAATTCGAAGAATTTTCTAACTTCACTTAGCTTTTATACAAAAATGTATATATTAAAAACTTAGGTGCACGAATTGTCTTGAAATTCTTTTCTTAACGCAACATTATGAAATAAGATAATAAATGATACGCAAAGATAATTAAATCGATCGATTCGGTATAAATAAAACATACACATTGAATCTCATAAGGGGATTCATGCATAATTTTTAATCACGAATCGCATCTGTGAACGTTATTATATAGTATTATTCGTTATAGATACCAAAGGCGGCTCATGTGTCGGCGACGTGTAAGGATTTACTTATGGCTCTATTAAAACACAATCCTGACGATCGAATAACGTATAATGAATTTTTCGCGCATGAATTTCTGGACTTAGAACACGCGCCGACAAAAGAAAATTACGATAAGGCAGTGGCATTAGTGCATCAAGCTGTTGAAATGGATGCTGAAAAGAATGTGAAAGAAGCATTTTATCTTTACTGCGAGGCTCTTAGATATTTCATTCCAATCTTAACAAGTAACGATCGATACTTCTCATGAATATTTTTTTAAATTCGAAGTAAACAATCTTTAAATATCATTTTTCTCGCTTTAAATTTCTCGTTTAATTTTTATACGATATTAATAATAAAAAAGATATATATATATATATATATATATATATATTGTATTATATATATTACAATATTATAGAATATTATTATAATTAAATATTATTTGATTAGATGAAAGTGATCTAAAGCGAAAGGAAATGTTACGGCATCGCGTGAATGATTATATAAGGAGAGCAGAAACGCTTAAAGTGGCATTTGTAGACGATAACAATGAAAATGTGCACCATCTGAAAAAGGAAACGCTTCATCCTTGCAGAGGATATCGTCTTTAGAGAGAAATTCGGCATTCGCATACAACGAATTACGTTAGTATCATATCGAATCTTCCAGAATAAAATGCAATATATACTTCAAGTGGAATTTCATATAATCGATATTATATCGTTTCTGGTTACCTACGTAAAAGCGAAAAATTAAGAATACTAAAAACATTTCAAAATAAAAATTCTTCATAAAATTAAAAATAAAATCCTTCATATAAATTATAAACGATAATCGTGATATAATTTATTTTTGTTGTTAGGAATTATCAGTAAAAGTACCTCTGGTATGACAGCTGCACTTGAAATAGGAGAAGCTGCTGAACAATATCTTGCTGAGGGTAGTTATGCCTTGGCTCTAGAAAAATTTCAATCTTGTCTGGGTGTACTTGTGCCTTTATTGGGTAAGGAACCATTTGGCCGAAGAAGAGATTTGCTGTATAAGCAGGTGATTGAATGAATCAGAATATTACACACACGATTTTTTACTCTATTTTTTAAAGTATCAGATTATTTAAAAAATCTTTGTATACTTTTTTATCATTTTTACTGTAAAAATAAATGTACAAAATAAAATGCAAAAAAAATATAGAAATATATTATAAAAAAATATAATAAAGTATAACAAATATAAAAAATTTATTAAACTGTTATATGCATCAATATAATTTTCTTTTTTTCAATTATTTATTTCTATCGTTTGATTAATTGATCTATTGCGTTATTCAATATATATATTTTGAATTATTTTAAATTTAAAAATATGCAAAGACTCTTGAGTAATTCGATAGATGTACTAGCAAATAATTAATAATTTTTAAAATTATTCTATTATGAAGTCAATGTCTCCAAGTTCATAATTTGATGATAAAATGATAAATTATTAATAACTAATGATATCGATGATAAAATATTGATATAAAAATAGATGAACATTTATCGCTGTTTCTTGCTTATTTTCATTTTTAAGGCTATCATCTCATATAGCCCATTAACTTTAATAGTCTGAACGAAAGATAATAAGAATAATAAGAGAGAAAAGTAATAAGAAAAGTAATAGAGAAAATCTTATCTTGTAAACTAATTTCAATTGATATAAAACGAGGATGAAAAAAAAAGTTGAAAATAAACCTTCCGAAAACCGTGTATTATACGATGCGATCGATTCGTGGATATAAAAATAAAACAATATAAATGAAATGTGAATTATTTTAACTTAACGTGGAAATATCACAATTTTATCATTTACTTATATCGGTACTTGTTATACGAGGTGACTAATTTTGTGAGCTTCTAAAGGAACACTGTAATTGTGTTCTATCATTTCATTATTGTATTAAAGTAAACTAAAATGAGATATTTATCGAACGTGTGTCTTACATAGAGAATATAATCCGAAAGATATTTACTTTATATATTAGTCTTCATCGAATCGATTATGTGTGCATATAATTTTTTGCGAAATATTGAAATGTGTTATCGATTTCTATCAACAGATACAAATTTGGATGAAGGAAGCTGAAAGTACCAAAGGACTTCTAGCTACAAAGGACATAGATTCCTCGCCACGAACATCCGACGAACAATGTATACTACAGTAATGTATCATAGGATTGGGAGGCCATAATAATTATTTAATTCCAATTCTCTACAGTGCCGGATTAACCTATTAATATGCGGTTCTAGGTAAATTTTGGTGGGCCTATGTAAGGCGAGAATTTTTTGAAAATTAATTAAACATATAAGCTAGTGCTTATATGTTTAAGGAACTGCAATTAATATAATACAAAATAATTTTTTTGGTTATAAATAAAATTTGTCTTCACTGGTTGGTGGGGGCCCATAGGCAGTGCCTAGTTTGCTTATTGGTTAATCCGGCCCTGATTCTCTACATTCTTTTAATTTATAAATTTGTGATATTTTCAATTATTCACGCATCATGTGAATGTTAATAATTTACACATCATGTTTTATTATTCTTTAAATGAAATTAATTTATGTAAATAATTCTCTCCATGTGTCATATATATAATGCGCAGAGACACAATAATGAATAATTAATTTTCCCGGGCAATTATGAATAGATATTTTGTTAATAAATATTAATCGATTATAATTGATATCCAATTAATTTTTAACGCTAATTAATTGATCGCGCGATTATAATGTTCTCCCCTAGTGGATCAATTTCGAAAAAGATCAATATGCACGAGTCGCAGAGGTGACATAAAATTTTTCGAAAGACTAGAGGGCGCGCGCGTCGCATGGCGCCCTTAGCGATTTCCAGATATCACGTGACCAAATAACGGTCACTGTTGTTCCAACACACACGTCATGGAAAATTCCCATTTCTGAGCTATAACCTCTCCTTCCCTCCGTGTATATATGTACTCCCCCCTCCCTCTTCTCTCCGCTCGCCATGTAAACCCCCCTACAGCCAATCCGCCATGTCCGCGCCTATGTACAAACCCCCCACTTCCGCGAAATTCTCCTCCCCCCACCACGCGGTCATACGATATACCGGATGTGGCAACGTCGCAAACCGTTAAGTACATAAGGTTTTGAAAGGGGCGGAGGAGAAGAACGGGGGGAATGATAGGGGAGAGAGCGAGAGAGCGCGCGCGAGGCGGAAAAGGGGGAAAGGGAGATAAAGGGGGACTAGGCGGCTCGGGGTTAGGAGAGGAAGTAACGAGAAAGAACTGGCAACGTGTACGACATTCAAATCTGATCTGAAAGTGTCTGAAACCCAGTCCCGGTTTCTTAGTAAAACAGTGGAAAACGCAGGAACGCGACGAAAGGAAGCCAAAAAAAATATATATATATCAATATACATATATATATTTTTCGCGTGTGTATATGTGTGTATGTATGTGTGTCGCGATACCGGTTACACGCGCAATGTGACCGTGTTCAGTTGACTTGGACGTGCTTGTTTAGGCTTGTTTCAACGTGTTTCAAGCGTATTCTCTCTCTCTCTCTCCCTCCCTCCACCCTTCCTTCCCTTCCTCTCTCTTCTTCCCCTAATATATACGTCTTATCATTGTTCCTTCAGTCTATGTACGAGTGCAACAACGCGACCAGGAGTTCTCGATGAATGCATTTTACGTCGAGAGTGCTCTCTGAGAGTGCGCCGTGTGACTTGATCGCGATCAAGAGCGAGAGGGAGAGAGTGTCTTCCTTCCGGTGGTTGCATCGACGCGGCGGTATACGAATTTTCGCGCGCGTCCGGCAGTCGGGCAACTTGGTAAATGTCAGGGGCGCGCGGCGGCATTGTGGCCGTGTCGCGAGGAAGGTCCACGACGTGGAATTATGTGCATAGACATCCAGCCTAACGAGAAGAAGATGGGCGACAAGAGAGTCGATGAGGAAGTTGAGATCGTCGAGGCATACATCAAGAAAGGTAAAGGTTTTGAGGTTAGCGGCTAAACTTAAGAGGTTAGGTTGCCTTGCCGCGCTTATACATATATATATATATATGGCGATGGCGATGCGTATTCGGGATCCTGGTAGGCAACATCATCGGGCCGCCGTGAAGGCGATCGGTAACCCTTGATTTATTTATCTCTTTTCATTCCTCCGTCGGAACAGATCGTGCTCTCGTGCATGAATATCATGCTCTCGTGAATGTGTACGTCTGTCTGTATCGCGAGCCGGCATAAACGTGCCGGTAATGAGATATGAGAGTCATCTGTGTCGTTCGATGATTTCATTAAACTAGAATGTAATGTGGACACCACTGATGATGATGATGATGATGATGATGATGTTGATAAGAGAGCATAACTTGTTATCTTGGATGTGTGAAGAAAATTCGGGATATTTTTTTATTTGCAATGTGCTGTGCTTTAATGAATGTTTAGTGATGTTATCTCTTATATATATATATAAATTTTTTAGAGAAGCGTCCGATACAAATATTAAATGTAAACAGATAATCATTGTCGAAATGTTGGACAATGTTTATGATTTTTCATTATTCGTGGCTATTTGCTCGTCAGAATTGTTTGCATAATTTATGACAGGCAGTTTTTAAATATAAGATTATTGAATTATATATTACAGAAACTAAAGTTGATATTAATGAAAATAATACTTATTAGGCTGTCAGTGATATACTTAATGAATATTTTTGGTTAGTGATTATATTCTTTAAATGTATATTAATTTTAATTTAGAAAAAGCCAATATAAATATTAGATTAATATATCATTATAAAATAATTTTATGACAGATATTTTTTAAATATCAGAGACTCCTATGACATATATTATAGACACAAGAGGAGTTTATATTCGGGAAACAAGACATCGATTTTTCATTTAATTAATTATAATTCGCGTTTTTCTGTGCACATTTATTACAGTCAGGATGAGTATGTCAGTTGGATTACTAACAAGTTTCAATATTTGCGTCATTTAATTTCATTTGGATATCCATTCGTTTTGTAGATTCAAGAATTTCCTACATTTCTAGTTATTAAAAATATTGCCAGGACACGAGAAAAAACTCCGAGTAATCAGAACTAACAAATGTTGTGCAATCTCTGAAATATTCGAGTTGCAATATTACAAAGTTGCGCAACATTTATATTAATATGACGTCACGTACACACATACACACACACACACACACAGAATAAATTTGCTTAAGGCAAAGTGTAAAAGGTACGGCACAGGGTCTCGAAATATATTTTGGATATTCGGTGCATAAATCGAGGGACGTCATCGCGCCCTTAAATTTCCCTGAAAACCTCGCGTTACATTTCCCGCGCTATTATTGCAAAAAGTATGAATTTTCTGTGCGTCGTATATTTGCCATTAAATCGCTTCGGCGCACCGTATGTAATAATAATGCAATACGTTGAAACGCGCGCGCGATGCCCGTGTGCTTTCCGCGAAAGCGCATCGTGTAACTTGGAGCCAGGGGGCTTTACTTGCCACAAGTGCGCGCGACCGGCTTGCTTGGGCTGCGCGCGCTGCGTTATGTGCGCCTTATGTACAACGAGCGAGCGAGAGAGTCGGGAGAGAGATAGAGAAAGCTACATTTATTAGGCGTTCTGGAATAAGAAGGGGAAAAGAGAGAGAGAGAGAGAAAAAAAAAAGAGAGAGAAAGAGAGACATGTGTGCGGCCCCGCGATATACATAATGTATCCGCCCTTATGTACTACATAAGGAACGAGGAGGTGATGTAACAAAGAGGCAGGCTGAGGCCGAAGACTGCCGAACTTTGCCGAGCTCGCGCGAGTTGCGCGCGTGCTTACGATAGGAGCGACGTAATAACGCGCGCGAACCTCGTCAGCTGCTACAAGCGAACGCCGCCATATGCAATTTTGCGCGAGTCGCGCAAAAGAAGGAAAAAAAGAAGGGAAAAAGAATTACGCTTGCGTATGAAGGACGATTTTCGACTTCGACGACCCTTCCTTTGTTGCTCTCTTTTTACGCTCTATTTTATTTTTCGTCGTCCAGAGGAGGGATTTAAGCGGGAAGGGAGGGGCGGGCAGAAGAAATGACCTTCGTCGTTGTTGATTCTATATGCCGGGAGGAGAGGAAATGCGTCTTATTAACGTTCTATCCTTATACTAGAGTTCCTTACGCATTGCGTAACGTTGCGTTCGTCGTACTTTCGCGAAGTAGCAGGAAATGTAGGAGGCTATTATCATGTCGAGATAGAGAAGCATCGCGCGCGCGAGAGAGAGAGGAGAGAGGAAACGAATATAAAGCAAAGAGATAGAGAGAAAGTCGAGTTATAGCAGAGAATACGCGGATAGATTGGGGCAGAATATATACATATATCCGGCCGCCATATTGTTCTTTTTAGCAATTTCTCCTCTTCCTTCCCCTCGTTCTCTTCGCGCCACCTACATTTCGTCCTTCTTTCTCCCTTCACTCTAGCCACATCCCCCACCTATTTTCACCCCACTCTTGGGCCAAATATGCCTTCGCTTGGCATAGCAACAGCGGCGTTAGAGGGCTACTATAAATAGATCACTATGACTTTCCAGTGTTGCCACAACAACTGGCCCAACCGTCATGCGCGGTAAAACTAGATACCATCAAGGCCGCAACGTTGCGATACGATATAATCTAATCATGTGACCCAAGAGCTTATACATTTTCGATGTACTATTGTTTTTATATAAGGGATTCTATAAATAGGGATATATATGGTATATAATAGATGTATATATCTATATTGCGACAAATTTCGGAAATATGTACTTGGGAGGAAAGCCTGTTTAGAGAGAGAGAGAGAGTCTAAGATAAAATGTGCGTAAAAAAATCCTTAACATATACATGTATATACAGATCTCGCGGGCTATCGAAGAAACGTATTCGTGATAGTCATTTTTTTTATTGCAAGTTTCTCAAGTATCGATCAAGCGACGTTGCTTTTCCGCGCGCGCGTTTCTATGTATTCGTATACATATATGGTTAAAAAGAGAGGGAATGGGCGTGCCCGGAGAACGCGGAGAAGCGGCAACAGCGCGCTCGTAAATCATGATTAAAATAATAAGTATAATACATATGTAGTACATAGGCGGCCGACGGCTTTTATATATGGTATATAAAGAGCTGCGCAATAGCGCGAACGGGAGCTAACGTCTGGCTGGGTTCTGCGCAACTTCGATACTCCTACTCCTGTACTTGGTACCCCCACCATTGTCGGGGCGAACCCCACGGGGGGAGGAAGGGGGTTGAGTTCCAGGAGCGATGAGGGGTGGCGAATCAAGCGGGGGTGTTAGAGGGAAGAGAGGGAGGAGGGTTTTAGGTATCTGAAACGGCTATATACTCCCGCGTGCGTTTACCAATCTTGGCACTTTGCCTGAAAGAGCATATCGACCGTGCGACGTTGTCACATCGTCCGCGCGATCTTACGCGCCAGTCCTGGCTACTCTTTGAGCGGTATGTACCTAGAGCCTGCGACTGCTCCATGTCACACGATGAGCGCGATCCGAGATGGGCGGCCATTTGTTTAACTATCCACGCATCTCGCTATCGCACCTCATCTGGATCTACATCTAAGGATAATCCTACTTGCGGCTTATCCGAGCGAGTGGTATAGACGATCAAAAACCATACTGAAGTTGGCTTTCAATCGTACCAACCGAAAATTCCTGATATATCTGAATTCAAAAATGCAAGATTATTTCTATGAAATCGTTCTGGGAGAGATAAAACTAGAGGATATATCTAGACAAATGCATAACTGAACACAATTTAAATGGATTGATTATTAACTATTTTCAAGTCAATGTGTAGACTGCTAGATGAGTCACAAATAGATATGGATAGATATGGCATTATTAGGAGAAAAAAATTCAGAGATATCGGGGGACCCAAAACTCTTCTAAAGTTCCCACATGAAGTGTAGTATATAGTAACAGTTACATAGCAATCTATTTTTTTAAATTTAGATTTAATAACTATTTCTAGTGATATTGATTTGATATATGTAATATATAGGATTAGACTCTTTTATTTGTTTGATTGAAATAGAATGTAGCTAAATTTCATTTTTCTAATATAGAGATTGTTTACAGTCTTATATTATTAGCTGAAGTTAATTATATCAAATGTTCAGTTTTATTTATAATTCAAGATTTCTTTATTTAGGGTGAGATATATATTGATAATATTATTGGGGAGGAATTAATATGTATATCAGTCATCTTGGAACACAGAGTTTGCGTATTAATCGGGAAAATTAATTGGACTTGCGTGAGATTGATGATTCTGCCTTATCCTATGCAATGTGAAAATATATCTTTTTTTTATATCTCTCTTGATGTCTTTGAGGTGATCGTACCCATATCGAGAATGACGAATTATCTTTATCAGACACCCCAAATAGCAAGCCTACGTCATTTTGGCGTCGAATGACGTTATTAGACGTCACTTTACGTCCGATGAAAAAATTCGCGGGTGTCTACAGGACGTTGCAGAATCAGCGGATCACTTGATTTCAAAATACGATACTTATCAAATCGTGATGTCTGCCAAGTGTACTTGTAACACCAATTATAATTAAAACACATTTTCAGACACCAGTCGTCGCGGACAATGACATGTTCGCGTCATCACGACGAGCTGTCACTGTTGCATGACAGATCCCGATCCTCCGCGCTGGCTCGCGGATATCCCAAGAATGCCGAGGCCGGTTCGAATGCAATCCGTCGAGGACGACACTGGCGAGCACATATACCTAATACCCGGTACAGTCCGCGCAGAGAGTCGCGGGAGAAGCCGCGGTTCTAGAGGTATATACGCGGACTAGACTATACGGAAATGCGCCTAGTGTCCCCGTGGAGCCGCGGGCGGACAGCTCGACGTTACGACGCGGCCTACGATCGGACGGCCTGAAAATCGAGGGTTCGCACAAAAGAGAGAAGGACCAGGAAACGCACGAACAAAGTATGGTGTTGTCCTCATACGAGGGTGCCGTGATCTTCGTGGAACCTCCAGCAGCTCGCGGAGCTACGCCCGGAGCATGTACGTAGTCGACGGAGGAAGGACACCGTCTACATACCCCGTTCCCCTGTTTTGCCTATACCCCGTATATCGAGCGCGCTGGTAGTGGTGAATACGGTGATGGTGGTGGCAGCGGTGGCGGCGACGACGACGAAGACGACGACGGTGGTGTAGTGCGGCGACGATGAGAATCTTTCGCGCCACCTGGTATAATCGTAAATCGGCGCACAAAGTGAAACGTCGTCCTCATCGTCCTCACCGTCAAGGGAAAGCGTGAAAACTGCGAGAATCGGGAGCACCGTTTAGAGAAACGACTTTCTCGCCTGTGGATTGTACACTTGAACGTCCACCGTGTTGATACGTCATCCTCGGTCTCTCTCGTCCTCTTCTCCTCCTCCTCCTTCTCCTCTTCCTCCTCCTCCTCTTTCTCATCATTTTGCTCTCCGTCATGTAACATGGATCGCGCGCGATATCGTCGGCGGTACCTGTAGGAGGTGGACGTGCCACTGCTTCATGTTATAACCTCAACGAAAGGGGAAGCACTTGGTGGTGTCTCTGCTGGATCTGTCGGCTTCAGCTGCGCCTCGCGATGTGATTTTGCGACTGAATCAAGGGAAATCCTCTCTTACTGTCTCGAGGATGAGGAACGGCTTCACGGATATACCGGTCGCGAGTGCCGACAGCAGCACCGACGCCATATGGCTCGAGAAAAGCAGTCCATCGCGGATGGCACCTGAGCGAATGTCACTCAGTATGTCTCTTCTTGGTGCATGTCCTACTCGCCTGAATCGCGATCGAGGCTTGTTTAAGCTCGCTTCGGGGATTCAGACCGGTGTCACGTTTGCTCCACGTTTTCTTTCATAGATCCGTAACATAGGACAATGACATCTCGCGTTTGACATCGATGATGGAAGTAGAATGAGGCTCTGATGCGTCTTCTCGTATAATAGATGTAGAGAAAGAGGAAAATTTGTTGTATACCGATTTCTCGAACGAATGACAGATTGAAGTGTCTGAATGAACGTGTAGTTTCTGATAAAATTGTAAAATTGATGTATAAGTTATAAGATTCTCATTACTATTAAAGATTGTTTACGCTGAGGTTTATGTTTTGATAATCGCGACGCGATGCGCCATCATGAGACGCGTCGTGTCATCTCTCTCTCTCTCTTTCTCTCTCTCTCCATCTTTTGAGTGTGCAAAATCGATTGAGAATCTTTAATTAAGAATCGTCACGTGCGCGGCGATTGGATTTTATATATAATATACTTATCTATCTTGACTTTACACGAGACACTTGTTTACTCCTTTATTTACGCTGTGCGAAAATTGTCGCGACTTGAATAGAACAAAGCTTATAAAGAGGATTAATTCGACCATCTTTTAAACTAAAGAAATTTTTTATCTGTATTTTTAATGTACAATGATTGTGTTGTCTAGCAAAATTTCATTAAATTTATATTCAATGAAATAAATTGTATAATATTTTTTTCTTTTTTTTTAACTTAATTTTAGCATTATCAAAATCTAATTTGATTTAAAAATATCTTAAGTTTACATATATATATATATATATATATATATATATGTGTGAAAAGTTGGAACATTTGTGTAGAATTGGTTCATTAATTTGGCAAGGCTCAATGATTATCGCTATATAAAAAAAAATCGCTTTATCGAACGTATTTCTAAGGATACACACACATACATATGTGTATACACACACACACACACACACACATGATATATAACGTAAATACTTTTGGAAGATAATTAAGTTTGTAAAGCGATCGAGAAAATAAGATTTATTCGGGTATAAAGATATATAAAGATATACATTTTTTGCGTAATTCATCATAGAGGCAACAGACAATGTTGAAGATGGCTATATATACATATATCAGCAAAATTTTTAGTGATGCTTTCTCTCGTAATCAGTTACTTGACTTTCATGATATAATAAAAATCGCAAGCTTTCTATACACATTGTATAAATATTTTATTCCGTGCAGCGTAAACATCTCATCATCAGTCTCAGTATAGATAAATCATATCTTCTTGATGCAGCATGTATAATTAACTTTAAGAATTAAACATCATTAAATCCAAAGACAAGATTCTAATGTGTGTTTCGTTTTCAGGTTTCGATAAAGTAGTTGTCAAACAAGAACGTCCAGATGAAGCGGAGATCCGTGAATTGGCTGCCAAATGGTGGAAGCGAACAAGACGAAAATGTTAAACATGCCGGCGGTGCAACAACAACAAAGGCCGCAATGCCTGGTACCGCAGCAGCCTAATCTTCCCAGTATTCTTGGATATCTGAACAAACGGCCGACCGATGGAGCCTGTCCGAAACCGTCGCCGGTTATGGAGATTAAAGCACCAGCGCCCGACGACGACAGTCAGAGAGGACGATTCGGCTGGACAAGCTTCGACGAGTGTCACATACCTTATATATTTCGGTCCGGCGAAAAGTATTGCGCCGTACGCATCCTAGAATCTAAGCTTCTCAACAAGTACCTGAGTTATCTTCACGCGGACATCTACAGCTGCACGTGTATAAGGAGTTATTATATCACGGAGGCTGAAAGCAAATTATTCAATGATATTAACACTAAGCACTGTGAGAATCAATTCGGGAGGGACACGTTCACGTGCAAGGATTTAGTGGTTCGTCTCTCGGACGCCAAGGAGTTTTATACGTTTCTCGATGTGTGTTACACGAAATTGACAGCGGGTAGCAATCCGAATGTAACGAGCGGACGCAAGGCGGATAAATGCGGTTTCATACGAATAAACAAAGAGTCTGTGGTACCTTACACTGTAAAGGACGGTCTGCAGTACGTGCCGTTATTTTATTTCGAGGGCGAGACGGAGAACCTTAAGCTGAAGGCGGAAAAGCTCGAGGGCTGGGATCTATCGTACTTGAAGTTCTGTTGCAAGGTACAGGGTATACGTAACGAATTGTTCGCCAGTGAAACGTGTTCGGTGATCAGTTTGAGTGATATTAAGAGTTACTTTCCACCGGGTACCGGCTTCGAGGACTATTGGCCGACCAAGGTGATGGACTCGCAGTTATTGGTCAACAGCAATGGCAACGGTAGCGGCGGTGGATGGACGAAACAGCCACCCACACCGCCTGCGACCAAGCCTGCATCTGTGCAAAGTGCAAATAAAATTGTACCGCCTTTAAACACGCGTGCCACACCGATGCCTAATATAATGCCACGGGGTACTGTCGTGAGTACGGCGCCGCAGATGGCACGACTAGGCCAGTCCAGGCCTGTAGTGACGACACATCCTGCCCATTCTTCTCCATCGGGAATTCCCGCCGGTAGATCGAACATAGTATCGCAACCTATGTTGAATAACGTGCAAGTTAACGGCTGGTCGGGCCTCGTCGGCGGTCAACCTACCTATCAACCGGCGCTCAGTTCTCAAGCTAGTTCCCTCATACGTACTCTGAATATGCAGAATGTAAGCTAATCTCCTAAGCGTATTTCAATCGTATAATAGCAAATTGTTTAATTTTTTTTTTCATTTAATTTCAGTGCCGTATTCTTTACACGCCACATCTCTATTTACCCTTTAGTGTTAAATTTTCGCATAGTTAGATTGCATCAAATGCACAGTCTTTAATTTTCAGCAAATGTCAGCTGCCTCTAAAAGCTATCCTCAACAATCGAGAAGTAGAACAGGCAGCAGCGGGACAACGACTCAATATCCTGTATATCCGACTACAACTATGCAAGCTCCAGTTGCTCAAGCCCAACCACCACCACCTCTCGTACGAGCAACTGTTCACTCCAATCAACCAAATCTTGGGTAAGCATTAATAGTTATATAAAAGTGATGATCTTACTTATTACATATATATACATATATACTCACATATATACATACATTATACATACGTATGTATCTATATGTGCATATGTATGTGTATGTCTATATGTATCAAGTTCACGAAGCTTTAATTAATTTCAAAATTTGTCTTTATTTTTTTCCTAGTTTTCTACCTATCGAACCTTGGCACCTTCATCTTTAATTAAATTTTTTAGTAGAAAAAATGCTACCTCATTTTTAGTTGTTTACAAGTAAAAAAATACAACATCAAAATTTTTAATGTATAATGTATAATCTTAATCGTAATTTTTTATAAAACATGAAGGTATTATTTAAATAAAAATGTTTATGAAGATCATTTATCATATTTGAAATTTAAATGGCTCTGCATTTTTCTCTCTTGATTATATGAGTAGAAAACGTTAAACAATGCAGACAGTAAATAAGTTTAATTAGCATTTAAAAGTTTTGTAATTTTCATCTGGAATTTTGAATAAAAAATATTTGAAAAATCAGAGTATTCTCGGACAATTTTTTTACAAGCCTTTTAATAGATACTTTGAAACAACTATAAATGAAATATTATCACATTTGCTATATTGAAAATTTTATTTATTAAAAATTATGTGTTAAGTTAATACAGATTTCTTTGGCTATTTTTATGGCAACTATATAGTATTTTCACCTACAGAGTATATGCTTGCTTACGATATATGGAATCAATTAGCACAGTAGTATGATTGTATATACTATATCTTATAAAAATAATTGCACCTATTTCACACTGTAATGTGCGTTATATTATTTAAATTTTAATCACTTAAATCTCTCGTTTTTGAGTACAAAAATATTAGTTACAAATATACTGCAAAAATAAGTTTTTGTTTTAGAGAAGAGAATAAGAGAGTATCCCTTTCCTCCAATTTTCCTAATCCAATAAATTAATATATTAAGATATATAAATTTATAAAAAAATTTATGAAAAAATTTATGAATTTATGAAAAAGATAATTTTCACTTTTTTGTATACAGCACATTTAAGCATGAAATATCGATCTTTCATTACTGCCATATATATGTTTATTCTAGCTTGAAAATGATTTTATATATAAAGTATAATTATTTATTATATGTAGAGTATCTGCACTATAGCTTTCTGCATTTGTACATACAATGTATTTTTTTTTTTTTATATAGTTATCCCACCTATGGGAAGGATGACTGGTGAGTCCTTGTAAAATATACTTATAGTCGTATAGATTATCATAAGGAATAAAATAGCATGCAAGTTTATATCAAGTTGATTCATTTTAGAGATAAAATTAAAATTAATACTTATAATTAATCTATATGACTGTCTTTAAAGGTTATTTGCGTGATAAATACATTTACTCAATTGTAAAATTTCTGCTTTTTATATATTAATATATTAATATATTTATTAAAGATTGTCAGGTAATTGAGATAAAATTTGTGCAGTTTTCATGATGGAGGAGCAGAAAGCTGCGCAAACTTTCTCGGTTACTTGATGCATATACTTATGTGATACACATATTTTTATTACAACGCTTACAACGGTATTTACAATGTTTATCATAGTCTTGTATCATAGTGCTGTCAATACGAATAATCTTAGCATCCAAATATGCAAGTAATCAGACCAAGACGTTTGCTGCTTATTTAAAATGATTTAGTGATCAAATTTCTAATATTGAGTTTTCAATTGAGTTTTCAAAGATTAAACAAGTTTCCATACAATTTTATTGGCCTTTTTTGCTTACTTTATGGATAATATAATTTAATATCTATACTATATTTTTTTATATATAGTGTAGATAATAAATTATATTATCCATAAAGTAAGCAAAACAGTAGTGTTATATTTCAATCGATAATTTTATGAGAAATAATATCACTACATGTTATTAAACTTTAATTTATATTATTAATTTTATAATATTATATATTATTAATTTATAATATTATATATATATTCCAATATATATTATACATTATTTTATAATTTTCCAAAATTGCCTGGTCAATTTACCTGAAATAATCGAGTGTTGACAGCACTATCATAAATTTGTTTGTAAAATTAATAAATATATTTATATACTACATAAATTGCTTTTGTATAAATTGATTCTAATAATATTTTGAAATTTTTCATAATTTGAGAGTACACAAAAAAAGTATGTTTATAAATTTAATTATTCTTGTTTAAATGTGTTGTAACATATCTAAGCACAAATGTCATGTAATTATGTAATTTAATCACGCATAATTATCACTTGTATATACAAATTTTATATATTATTATTCCTATCATGTGTATATACAGGTTTTATATTGTTCCTAATGCTGTGATGTATTGAGCACTTTGCTTTAAATGAATAGAAAAGATAAAACAACATAAAAAATTATGCATTTATTTTCATTATTATGCATTGCTAAAGAGGCTAAAGACTATAACAATAGAATAAATAAATAGCAATAAAATGAAAATAATAAAAATTAGTCTACAAAATAGTCAAAAATAATGTAATTTTCTATTTCAGGGTGACCACTACATATGCAACACCTACATTAGGTGTATCTAATGCAGTCACAAGTACATATCCACAGATGCTTGGCTTGAGCGAACAAGTCCAAGCTTTGATGCCAGTACCTACATCAGCATCGACTTTATTACATCAATCAAGACATACACCATCTGTACATAACACATCTCATATGAAGTATCCACCTCCCCTAATACCAGTCAACGGTAGCAGCGGTAGCAGTAGCAGTTCCAGGTATGTATTAAAGTTTATATATCATTAAAGTTTATATATCATATGTATGTATATATTAGAGTTTATATTATGTTTATAGTATATATTATGTATTAAAGTTTATGTATAGTATATATTAGAGTTTATCATTATTTTAGAGGAATTGAATAAGCAGACTTATGGTTAATAAACAGGACATTTTTGTTGCAATATTTTGTTGCGCTCAATTGGATTAACACATTATCATATCGTAAGTAATTTTTTAGGGATACTCGAGGGAGAAAACCATTAATACCGATATCAGAAACACATATGTCAACTTGCCATGTACAACCTTACCAAATACAGAAAGCATTGGTTGAAGAAAAAATGGTACCCTGCATCAACTTCAAACCTTACATCTACAGTGAATTGTTAATAACACTTCCTGACTTTATTAAAAACTTTTTTCCTACCTGCAACATTGAAAATTGTAGACAAGTCCTGACAGATGTTCTACATATAGACTTATATCAAGGAAATAGGTAAGCTAAATATATTCTATGAAATGTTCTCACGCATATAAAATAAACTATTTACTTTATATCAATAAACTTATTTACTTTACAGTCTACAAATGGAGATGTTAATGAAAGCAGGCAAATGTTCTTCGCTAACTGAAGAACTACCTTTAATCCAAGTTAGAAGTGTAATGAAATACATGCCACAATTCAAATATATGTTTAATAGAGGAGATATGGTTATGCCTTCCCCGGCTCATTCGTCTGAAGAGCACCCTGCCAAAAAGCGCCAACGTACCAGCTAGGATTGGCTACAGCCTTACTGGCCTACTTACGATTACTACCATTCGGCGTTTTAAATAAGCCGATAAATAATAATGCGTCGATTTGCGTGCGTAACATCGTTGTGAGACGCACGCGAGATATTTAACTAATCATATCTCGTGTGTGATACGCAACAAAGTACACACGACCGACGATATATACAAGTTTATGTACAGTGACACCACAGAGCTATTTCTTTCTCCAAAGTGTATTTACCGAAAAGAATATGACTGTAAATAAAACTGAAACATGTAAATTTAGAAGATTATAATTGACGATTAAAATCTGCTTTTTTTTATTTTATTTCATTTTATTCAACACCTGCTATAATGGGAGAAATTACTACATTGCTGCAGGATAAAAGAGTTAAGAGAGAAAGAGCATTCTTATTTTCAAATTATCTCCCATCATTCCATATACATATACACAAATATGTATACATATAAATACACATGCATATAAATGTGCGCGTGCAATATATGATATACACATTATTTTATTTCTACCTCTTTGAAACACTGAAAAAAATAATCTTTTAGACTCTTCATTTTTCATAGTGTTCTTGTTACATGTCAATATTTTGTGTTTACTTATATATAAAAGTTCTGTGTTTAAAAATAGAAATTCGGAGAAAGAAAATGCTGTTAAGATGGACATGACTATGGAGTTATTCAAAATGAATAACCTATTTTGCATATTAAATGTATATCAATAAAAAGCGAAAAATGGAAGTAATGCTTCTTCAAGTTCCTAGCTATTACTAGTACGTATTCCGATAACTAGCTGCAAGCTAATTTAAAAATGTTAATCCATTCGTTCATTGTGAGTTTTTATACCATTTTCATAAAATTTTGTTTAATAAAAAAGTGTTACGGTATATAATATCGAACAATTCTTTTCGTTTCAATTGTTTAACAAATACACTGTATACAGGAGAGTGTGATGTATCAAATGAAATGATAAAGCGAAACAACAAATGCCTACTTAATGTGAAAAGATTGCAGTAAGCAATATCTCGTGAACTTATGAAAGATAACTAATGTATAAAAACTGACATGTTCACAAAATTAAAGTTCAAAAGTAAAATTGACAAATTTTTTGTTTCTACTATTTTAATATTTATATTTAAAATATAGTGTCTCTCCCTCTATCAAAATATTGCTGCTGCATCTTTACATTCATATTGTAAACTTTTGCTTTAAGACAATTTAATACGGCGAGTTGTTTGAAATTTGTTACCCAGTTATACTTACATTTTTGTACCTATACTCAACATTTGTTAAAGATAAATATCCCATGATGGGGGTTAGCGTGAAATTTGTCACATGTGATTAAAATATAGAAATATAAAAAAAAATATATATATATATAAATTTTGCGAGAGATAGAAAGAGAAACAATATTTATTCACGTCAAATGTATCACGTGCATCGAAAATGTAATGACGAATCTTATCCGATCAAGATTTTAGACAATATGGCATATTGAGTAAAGACCGATGCAATTGCACTCTCAAAGTTAATTCCAGATTCAGTTGTGACCGCTTCACGCTTAACCCATTTCACATATACGTTTATTTATGCATTTGAAAATGTCCAGATAATGTATATAGAAGGCTATTAAAAACGTATGTAGAGCGTAATTGTGAAGGGAAATGCAATTGACATTCAAGCGATGAAAAGATCTATTAAATAACACATTTTCAAAAACACATTGAAATAGTCTTCCATCTTGATCGATATAATGCGTTACGAATCGAATTTTGTTTAATTTAAATTATTTTATAACATTTTCAATGCACACATTATTAAATGAGTCTTCGATAATTGTCGGTTTATTTTCACTTATAATGATAGAATGCAGGATTCAATAGTGCCCTATGTTTCGGGACAACGTGTATAAGATGCTATTTTATCTCTTCTCGATGTGGGACAGAGATTTAAATAGTTATTATCGACTGGCTATATATACTTTCATCACTCACTAACTTTAGCATTAAGAAAGCTCTAAAAAAGATGTACATGGCAAAAACACAAGTGTATATAAAGAGATAATTATAACGACTGATTCACGTCGAACGTGAATCTTCTACACAAAGCAGAAATTGTTCGTATAATCCTCTCGTAATATAAATATATTTCATTATTTGTAATATTTTTGTTGCATTATAATTTTTGAAAGATCTTATTATTGCTATTGAGATTCATTCTGGATCTCCCAGTATCGTCTATCGTTATAAGCTATTCGAAAGATTGTAGAAGAAAAATTTAAATGATGACAAAAACGCAATTCAGTTATTATTTAAATAAAAAACATTTCAGCGATAAAATATCTCATTTAATTTTGTTACATAACTTTATATTTAGTTTGGTATTATTTGATATTATATGTACATACAACACGAGATTTATAATTATCAAAAATACCACATATATAGATTTTTATATCTTTTACCTCATTTTTTTACAGATGTGAGTAAATTTGATGCGATTATCAAACAATACTATGTTTTGCAGAAGGAGATTAGGACTGCATGTACATATTTAGCAAAGAATAGTACATGTTGATTTTATACATCGTAATTAATTCTTTAGTGCAGCAAGAAATGTTTGTAGAGTTTCTTGAATTATTTTAACAAGAACACACGTACCAATTTTATTTTATTTTACATAACTATGTTGTATGCATTGCATATTCTTTCTTAAAAGATAAAAAGGAAAAAATCACAAGAGATGAATCCATGTCCCCGCGTTTAGAATAATATAATTATTTTTAATATATTAGATTAGCATCTTTCTTTGTTAACATCTGTTAAAATAATATGTATTATACTTTATTACGCTATCGTTTGTACATATAGAACATAAGAGAAATAGAGCTATACTAGATATTTCAAATAAATTCATGATACAATCAAATCAACGAGTTTTCTTACGCGCTCCTTATACTTCATCTTTTATTTTTACTTTTTTTATATTTTATTCTCGAGAATTGATTAAGGAAAGATATGCTTTTTTTATTTTTATCTTACCTTATTTATCTCTCCTACGTTTTTTTATTTTAACTTTTCGAAAGAAATTCAATACAATTTAATAATGCATATGAAATTATTTGATTATATTATGTAGAGCGTTGTGAATAAAAATTAGGGTAGTGATGTTTAAAAAAAAATGTTTAAATCAGTTACTCGTCGATCTGCCGTGTGATTTCCGGAGCACTCACAACCGGAAGTACACATAAAACGATGTTTTGACAGACAGTACATTTTTCGCATTTTATTTTCTATTTTCATTTTTTTTATATTTTACTCTCGAAGTTTTGATCAAGAAAGGTACGTTTTTTATTTCTATCTCTTACCTTTATATCTCCGACGTTTTTTTCTTCCATCTCTGCTGACTCGTCGAAAGGAATTCAATTCACTAACGTATACGAAATTATTGAACTATATTATTTATATTGAGAGAACGTTGTTAACGACTAATACACACGTTTATTTAAAAAAGAAATCTCGTTATTTGAATCGGTTGTTCGTCGACTCCTGCTATGCGACTTCTGGCGACCGGAAGTATCACGTTCCTCGCATTTTATTTTCTATTTTTATCTTTTTTATATGTTTTTTTAAATATTTTATATATTTTTTCATATTTTATTCTCAACATTTTGATCAAGAAATATAGGTTTCTTACTTCCACATATCTCTTACCTTTACGTCTCACGTTTTTTCCCTCCATATTTCCAGTGTTATTTCGACTCGTCCAAAGGAATTCACGCATTCAATTCACTCACTAATCGTATACGAAATTATTTAAGTAAATTATTTACGTCGAGTGTTGTCAGTAACTGTTAGACGTTTATTCAAAGAAAGCGAGATCTCATCGGATTCGAAACGATTATACGCGACACTCGCCCGCGACCGGAAGTACGTGCCTACCGCGCGAACGTTTCGGCGAACGGCGGCGCGATGGCGCGACCGGCGGCGGAGTTGAACGAGCCCGCACGAGACTGGCCGAAGCGCGCCTCAGTCGCAGTCGCCATTTTGTCGGGTAGTCATCAGACTCGCCGTGTGTCGTTCGCACTCACGTCGGGCGCGTTTTCGTCCGATTTATTTCCGTTTCGGGCGAGAGTAAAAAAAAAAGAAAAAAAATAAAATAAAATAAAAAGACCCGCGTGCCGCAGAATTTTTCCGGACACCCGTACACAGGCACTCCGCACCGTCGAACGCCGTTCAATTCCCCCCCTCCTCCCCCCGCAAATGGCTTGTCTGAACACCCTCAAGCAGGAAATCAAAACGCTCGAATCCGTCTTCCCTAAGAGCCATGAGAGGTTTCAGATAATGTCTGCGAGCGTCGACGAGCTCAGCTGCAGATTCGTCGGTAAAAATGGGAAGAAGTACGAAATACACGCCAATATCACAGTAAGTGTAACTCATATACGTGTCTCTGTGTGTGTACGTGTGCGTGCGCTTTCGACGATCATTAGGCTCTTCGTTGCGTGAGTGCGTGCGTTCATTTCGTCCGAGTAGACACACGCTTGATGCGTCTGCTCCGGACGGATCTGGACAAAGGAAGGACCCTCGTCAGGGTATGATACTCCTCGGGGATGCGAGTGAACTTGGAGAGATTCGCGGATGAAGATGGGGCGCTTTTTATTATTTTCCTCTTTCCTTCTTTCTCACGTGATTGCTTGGATCATTTCGACGCTGCTGCGATCGATTTTCTTTTCTAAACATTGTACTTCTTTAGGGTCTCTGAGAACTCGCGGATGAAGGTTGACGTTGGTGGGTAACAGGACGCCTTCTTCGCGGAAAGAAACAGTAGCTATCGTTTTTTCGGTCTTATCAAAATTGTTTTGACACGACGTCAGGCGAAGGAGAAAGAGAGAGAAAGAAAGAAAGAGAAAGGATGACGAAGGGTGAAAGAGAGGGAGAGGACAGACAAAGGAGATTCATTTTCAAATCTCGCGTCGTATATACGATGTTTCGCATTTCATCGATCCCGCATATGTCGAATGCAATTTAATCACGAGGCAGGGAATAGCAACGAGAGTTTGATTTTTTCTTGCTACGCAAGAGCGACTTGTACGTGTGTGTGTGTGTGTATGTATATGTATGTGTGCGCGATGTCAGCACGACGAATATTGCAATCGAGCGCAATCCTTTTGTAATTTTGTATATTGTCCTTCCTTATGATTACTCGTGCAGATATTTCAGCATCTTTCGTGCATCATTTACTCATTATACGGTAGAGGTCGGTGTGTGGAAATTTCTTTGTGTGTATGTGTATTTTAAATGGCCGTATGCGTGCGCACTTGCGTGAATATGTGTGTAAAACAGTATATTATATTTTTTTTATTTTTATACAATTTAATTTTTAATGTACTTAATATATTTAACGTACATTTAATATATATTTAATGTATTCTGAAGTCTATATAATATATTATCAATTCTGTTTAATATATTATATATAGATATTATTAATATATTGAGCTGTACTAATTATCAACAATGTTTATGCAGGAAACTTATCCTTCGACACCACCAGTCTGGTTTGCTGAATCCGAGGAGACTAGTGTTACAAACGCTGTACAAATTTTAAGTAATACAACGGGCCGCGACAACCATGTAATCAATCAAGTTGGAATTCTCTTAAAAGAATTATGCAGATTACATTCGTTACCAGAACCGCCAGATGTCGAAAGACTCAGAACTGCTTTGGATCCCTTACGTTTAGGAGGGCCAAACGAAGCTGTGGCGCAAAGGATGGACGCCGAAGATATAGATGATATCGACGAGGACGAAGAAAGTGAGACTGAAGAAGACTTACATTTGGATATGGATGAAGGAGATGCTAACGCTAAGAGTAAGGTAAAGAAAGATAAGCTTGTGACACTGGTCTAATACAAAATTATTACTGTTGTTACGATCTTAATCTCTTATTTAATGGTACAGAGCGAAGAAATGGATTTGGAACATCTTGCAACATTGGAAAGGTTGAGACAGAATCAAAGACAAGACTATTTAAAAGGATCTGTTTGTGGGAGTGTGCAAGCTACTGACAGACTCATGAAGGAACTACGTGATATATATCGAAGTGACAGCTTTAAGAAAGGTATAATTTTTTAAGATTTTGGGAGAATTTTATGTAAATACACACATAATTAAACAAAGTTTTATAAGTGTTATGCCTATTGAACATATGTATTTATATAAACATTTTTCCACTTTTTTCCAGGAATGTATAGCATAGAACTAGTAAATGACAGTTTATATGAATGGAATATCAGGTTGATGTGTGTAGATCCTGATTCGCCACTTCATAGCGATCTCATTCTTTTGAAAGAGAAAGAAGGCAAAGACAGTATTCTTCTCAACATGCTTTTTAAGGTATTTTTTTATAAAGCTTATGACAATAAGCTTAAACTTGTATATGTTAGAGAGTATATAATTTTTGGAGCAACTTTAAATCTTTCAACTATGTTAAATATATTATAATTTTTTTTTCACAGGAAACCTACCCATTTGAACCTCCATTTGTAAGAGTTGTACATCCTATCATTTCTGGTGGATACGTTCTTGTGGGAGGTGCTATTTGTATGGAACTTCTCACAAAACAGGGATGGAGTTCGGCATATACGGTTGAAGCTGTTATAATGCAGATTTCAGCAACATTAGTCAAGGGAAAAGCACGTATACAGTTCCAAGGATCAGGTGGTGCTGGAAAAGTGTGTAGTGGACAAGGCCAATATAGTTTGGCACGTGCCCAACAGTCATTCAAATCTCTTGTACAAATACATGAAAAAAATGGTAAGAATTTACTAATTTTTCTTGCTACATTTGATTTTCATATATTGCATATGGAGTAATTGTTTTCTGTTCTGTGAAAGGTTGGTTCACACCCCCGAAAGAGGATGGCTAATGAACAGCGATTACAAAGTACCGAAAATATGACACATGCTTACAACTGAGACTTTAATTCGGTGTGTGCCCAACAAGTAATTGTTATGATAATGATTTGATACACAAACACAACAGTAACTAGGTAACTTAAGATACTGAATTAATCTATCGTATAATTCCTTTGATGGCTAAAAAAGCTGCCGTATACACTTTGGTTGCGTATCCATATATTTTCGGTCACTAGCTGTTAGGTCGCGAATTGTATCAATGAATATAAGGTATCATTTTATTTGAAATTGTGATTCTTATATTTCGAGAGAATCCCAATTATATTATACTATATAGTAATTACTATATAGTAAACTTAGTTACTCCTTGAAGATACATATGTTGTACGTGCGAAACAGGATAAATTTTTTGAAAATTGTGTTGGCGCAATCGTGCTTCCTGTCTTTTTAACGGGAGGAGATTATGTGTGATTAGCATTTTAAATTAATGTAATACTGGAGATTTTTATGTGTTTCTTTTAGCGTTTTATCATTTTGTAAACATCGTTCTCTTTATTTCTTATGAAACAATGATTATTTCCTGTGCAATTAGATTGATATAACTATAGATATACTTTTTTCTTTTTTTTTCTTTTTTTTATTTTGTTAATGTACGCCGTAAGCAAGTAAAAATAATGGTAGTAAAAATGCATCTCCAAGGAAAACGGATACTGTTTCTTTTTCTCATCTTTGAGATTTTTTATCAAATATTCCATAAATTATATCTAAATTATATCTAAATTATGCAAACACACAACCAAAGCATTTCTCGGCAAACTATTTGGAAATAAAATGACTAAATGTATAGAGTATAAGTGTAGCTTTTCATTAGGAGGCTCTAGAGAGTACAATCACAGAAATGACAAAAGTTTCTGTAAACTTTAAACTTTGCAATTAAATGTGTTTCGTACAACTAATTTTATCCACATTAATCAAGTCAGATTTTTGACACGAGAAATGATATTTTTTTACATTCGGCAAATATAGCATATTTTGTAGCATTAATAGCTTAGGTAAAATGTAGAATCTTATATATTATATACAGCACAGTATAATTAATATAAATATTTATCTTTTGCATAGAAAGTAAGAATGAGGCAGATATCTAATATATAGATGCTAATAGAAATACATTTTTTTTTATTAAATAGTAAATATTGCAAGATTTTGCGTTAGTGTTTTCTTTCTACAATATTATCGCGGAATGTGACTTATAACTTTTTATAACATATAAATATATACACACACACATATATATATATATATATATATATATATATATATATATATATATATATCCCTTCATTGTAATATGTGAATATAAGAGTTTAAAAGTTGTATAGATGTATATAATAATATAAGTACTCTTTAGGGTCTTTTTATCAGAAGACATAAATGCAATAGAAGCTTAAAGGTTTTGATTGTGTGTTTCATCTAAATCCCGTAAATTTCATTTTTTATTATCTTTTGTATTCAATGCAACTCAATTCGCATGAATATATAAAAACAATGATACATTGTATTTACATATATATATATATATATATATATATATATATATATATATATATATATGCAAGCTACAATTTTTTAATAAGAGATGTACGAACTACATATTATTTGCAAGAGGATTAATTCTTATGTACAAATTTGTTTTTGAAAATTTGTCGGTTTTGTACAAACATTAGTATCTAGTAACAGTCGTAATAGAAAACCTTGGACAATTTTATGCATTATGGTAATAATCAATTATCATTTGCCTAATGCAGTAAATAGTCAAAGGTATTACATATTCATTTCTAAAGCAAATTTGTCCATTAGAATTAATAGGAGTAATGTGAATGTTTGTAACTTTCGTGAATTTAATTTTTGCTATAAATTATTACGTGAAAAATGATCGAATGTCCGTTTTCATAAAAATCGTATTAAATTTGTTATTGTTAAATGCATTTTTGCATACGGCATCGAAGTGAAGTCACTAAAATTGTGAAAAATTACAATCATTAATTGGTAATTGCCTTCTAATATTCTTTAGATTTGTATTATAATTTTTGAGCATACAATTTGTTTCGTACATACATACATACAAAATGTCCTGGATTCATATACATGCATATATATACGTACATACATACATACACATATGTACATACACATGCATTCTGTTCCTCTTCATGCTTCATCTTCCTACGTAATTTCAAATACGTAATCTCTCTGCACAACCATCATATTTTCATAATTGTGAGCAATTATGCTATATTTCCAGTAAGAATAAAAAAAATCTATAACTTTTGTTGTAAATATCGATCGTAACGAGTACACTATTATATTTCAGGGATTTTTATTTCGAATATCACATACTTTGATAATAATGATAATAATTTGTTAGAGTTATGTGTCTCTTTAGTAATTTACCGCGTTTGTTTACTTTCATTAGGATGAATGGGACATATGAGAATGCCTATTAATCGTATGGAGATGGAGCAGTACATATGTTATTGGCAATAACGCATGTACAATGTAATCAGTACACATGATTATTGATATAACAGAATCGTGTAGCGTGGTAAAGAGGGGGATTCACTAGTTTGCGTTTGTGGTTCAATTTAAATTTCATTTGTGAGCAGATCATATGAGAGCGCGCGCACAGTATCGTCATTATAAATAATAGATTAATTCTTAAGTATAAGGTGCGATCCATCGAACTCGCTGTCAACACGGGCAAACCACTATTTGTACAGCCGTGCCCATTTTGACACACCGAGTTACTGATTGATTGTTCGACGTCGTTAAACGTTATGTTTCTTTGCCAAAACTCTCTTTATCGTCGTTAAGTTTCTTTCCTTTCTCTCTTTTTTTCTTCGTCTAATGTAACGTCGTGTATAATCGCGGGGAGCAATGTGACAATGTATATTTTTGCTACAAATATCGTTAAGATCCTCTCTTCGTTTATGTCTAATAACATTCGACTTTCGCTGACATTCGTAAAACAATTTCAGAAATTTCAGAGCCTCGACGTAAGATCGATGCTACATGCGATTAGTTTAAATTAATTAATTACATTTACGATAAACGAGATACTATATACATATACGATTTAACGGGTGAGAGGTGCGTAATAAGATAAGAAGTAAAAATAATTCTGCGCAACGTGTCTCGGGATTCGTTCCAGACTGAACATTCTGATGAAAAAAGAAAAAAGAAAATATGCGCCTAAAAAAGAAAAAAAGAAGAAAAAACCACAAGTGGAAGTTTGAATTTTAGCCGGATATCACACACTGAATGAAATGCATTTCTCAAATTTTTAGATTATGCGCAGTGATATAGTTGATAAATTTTCGTTAATATTCGAAGTGATCTTTCTATTTAAAGACTGATAAAAGTAGAACTTGAACGTTCTTTTTCTTCCACGTTATATTTATAAAATGTGTCTTTCACGCGCGGGACTTCGATTCGTAAGAGCATAAGAATAAAAGGCACTCGAGCAATTTGTCCGCATTGTATGGGATTGAATGGAACTTTATATATACATATATATATATTTGTGAATGTGGAACATATATGAAATTGATTCTTAAGATTTTCGTATCAAGGCATTAGTGCCAATTGGGAAGATTGATATATGTATATATATATAATTTATATATAATTATATACATTACTTACATAATTTATATAATTTACATAAAAATATATATTATAATATATTATAAAATATTAAAATATATATATTATATATATATATATATTATATATATATATATCTGATTTTCCGAAATGTATTTGTGGCAAAAATAATCGTCTCTAAAGTCTCTTCCAACTGATTTGTTCTACTTTCCACATTGTTATTAATGTGGATATATATTTGTTTATTATGCATTAAGTAAATATCAATGATCGATTGATGTAATTGACGAATTGTTTCTTTTTGTTTAAAGGGAGAGCACCCGGTTCACGCGGAACATAAATAAGGTGACCGAAGCCTGATATATAAAGTATGATACAAGCATGATATGGAAATCATTAACATCCACGTGTACCTGGTTCCGCATTCTAATCAAGATAGCACGAGAAGTAATAATCTACGTTTCGCCTGAACCGTGGTATTTTTTGATCGTATCCATTTGATACTCGGGATATAAACTGACTTTGTGTATCATGTTAAGTATATGGTATAACTTAACTCTCATATTGTAACATTTTCTGACGAGGGTATAGACTTTCGGATCGAAGCAGCGTGTGTCGTGCACGTCGAGAGAGAAATTGAAATTCTTCACATTTTTTTGTTAGGTTCTATCGTAGCTTTTACGAAATGCGCTTTTTTTCTTTTCTCTCTCGTACATATGGCGTTCTTATTGTACCTTCTCGACGTGGACGATGTTCGTCCAGTCTAAACCCATAAGTTAACTTATGTCTCTACTCTGTCCGCGTACCTATTTGCGTAATTAACTCATCGGTCAATCGAGAAAGATCGATTAATTTTTGTTAATCGGTCGGGTCGTCTCATTGTCAATATCTCTATAATCTTAAGATTACTCTACGTATCTTAAATCTGCTCCACTTGTATATCGTACCATTATGATTTGAGTGAAAATTTCTCTATAATTCTAATATATCATTATATTTTTTCTTTTTCTTTCTTTTCTTTATCTCTCTTTCTCTTTCTTTTTCTCTTTCTTTCCTTTATCTTTTTTCTTTCTCACACACACAATTTCATGTTAAGTTACGTTAATTATTGTTTAGGAAAACGCTACGAAAAATGCAGAAAATAAAAGATTTTAATAAAAAAAAATGATCTGAGGATTGTACAAATGCGTCCCTTGTTTCTTATTTATAAGCATAATGAAGAATGCTTTTACATATTATTGCGTCTCCCATAACTCCCAATATGATGAAATCACACCTGCACGTATTGTAATTATAAAAAAATATGTGCAATCTAATATGGCTAATTAAATGTGCGATTCGTTTCTTCTTTTTTTCTTTTGATTATTGCGAATTTTGTATTATTTATTATAAGGATTACAGATAATTATATTGTGTATAAAGTCACTAATACAATTTTTTATTCTAAATCGCATGTGAATTAATAAATTATTGATTAATATTGCGCATTATATAATTAATTTTTAATAATTTTTTACTTATTGTATAATAATTTATTACATCACGTACTATTTAGCATGAGAAATCGAAAATGTGTGCCATCTAATGACTAATTAAATGTGCGAATTGTTTTTCTTCTTTTTTTCTTTTAATTATTGCGAATTTTGAATTGTTTATTATGAAGATTATAGAAAATTAGTGTATATAACACGATTTTTATTCCAAATCACATGCGAACTATTAAGAAATTACCGAACGATAATAATATTGTACACAATGTGTTGAATTTTTAATAATTTCTTATTTATTATATAATAATTTAATTGTTATATCGCGTACGATGTAGCATGAAAAATCAAATTGCGCGCCATTAGACTTAAAGTGACGAAATCCACAAGAGAAGAATCGATCGATCGATCGATCGATCAATGAATCGAGCGCTCGAACTCGCGACTATATTCAACATGCAGCGAGACTCACGGCACGAAAGTATAGTATCATCGAGGCCTTCGCGGGATGCGGATTGTTGGAGCAGGACAAATCCTTTCGCCGCGTAAATCATGTACGTATGAAGCTTTAAAGTAAAAAATGTAATGCATGTATAAATCATTGTATAACGCACATTATACGAAACGTCAATGTCAAACGTGAATGTTAAATGTCGGCAGATGGTTAATATGTATATTGTTTCATATCTGACGCCCCTGCATATATAGGAATATTTATATTATTATGCTAACGTGACATTGATGTCGCGTGTAATGTGTATTCATGTTAATCGCAGTGATGATGGACAATTTGAAACAAGTAATATACCGCATGTGTAAGCGAAAGAATTAATTATGTATAACAATGTATTTGCCATGTATGATCGTTTCGCTGCCGTGCCGTCATAGTGACGCGATAGCTCGAGCATCAGTACGAAGTTGCCGCGCATACATATAAAGAACAAAGTCGTACCAATCGGTCACGTTAGGTGTCGCTGCGCGTATTTCGTGGATGTTAATTCCCGCGTTTTTTTCTCGCAGATTCTTCTCGCGAGATCCTACTTCCTGACGAGCATTGCTGAATGCAACGTGTCTTCGTTCATGGAGAGTCGCAGAAGTATCGACACAATCGGATTGAGCGGGCACATTATTTGGACATGGCGGTGTACAACAATTAGTGAGTCTAATTATTTGTTATATATTACGAGCGAAATTTCGCTTGCGATGGTTTAAGACCGTTCGAAATATTTATTGAATTTTGTGAGAGACGATTGTCGTCTCTTTCTCTGATATGCAAGGTAAGAAAGCTTTTCATATAAATGAATCCTATATTTTTCCAATGATCTCGATTTCAATGTCGATATGAGCGAATAATTTTTTTCGCTCATAAAATTTTGTACCGATTTTGCGCTTTATCTGCGCACGCAGGTGCATGCAATTGCATCTTATCTGGAATTTTCGTTATCGTGAAAATACAAATTTATTTCTGGTTTTACCTCTGCGAGAGGTGAGAGGTAAATAAAATTACAAACATTTTCCTGTAGAGGAAAGAAAGAGAAGCGAAAATAATATTTAATTCTGACTATTGAGTTTTTGCGAGATTCGCACAACGTTCTGTTTACGAGAATCATGAAACATGCTGATTGAATTTTACTTATTTTCTGGCTTTGAGCTGGTACGACTTTATGTAGCAATTTACTTGTATTAACAACATATTAAAAAAGATTGCTTTTTTTGTTGTTTTTTTATTAATTATCATCAAAAACCAATAAGTTCTTTCAGATAAATACTCGTATAAAGTAACTTGATTAAAATCATTTTTAACACAAGATTAATCTGCTTGAAGTCAAAAAGCAATAAATTATATTCAGAGCATAAAGCTTTTTAGAACATTTCTCTTTTATATAAAAGTATATAAAAGTATTAAAATATTTTGAAGCATATAAATAAATATTAGTACGGTTTTATTTAGCATTTTTTTATATTGTAATATTAACAACGTATTAAAAAGATAATTTTTTGGTCATATTTTTATTTATTAATTGTTTTATTGAAAACAATATTTTTTCAGATTAATACTTGTATAAAATGGTTAACACAAGATTAATCTGATAAAGTAAAAAAATTATATTCAGAATATATAAAGCTTTTTAGAACGTTATTCTTTTATATAAAAGTATATATAAATATATTGAAATTATATATATGTATTTTTAATATATTTATATATTTTATATAAAAGATAAATTTTCTAAAAAGCTTTATGTTCCGAATATAATAACCGATCTCTTTTTTAGCTTTAATTGGTCTAATTTTATGATTTTATGTTAACAAAGATTTTGTGCAAAAGTTTGTACAAGTATTAATTTAAAAGAACGTATTGGTTTTTAAAAGATAATTAATAAAATGACGAAAAAACTAATTTTTTAAATGCATTATGAATATTACAAGAAAATAAAGTCGTACTAGTTCAAAGTCAGAAAATAATTAATATATAATTTAAATGTAACATATTCTGCATGAAACATTTTTATATTCATATAACGTTTCGATATATGAATATCAATTCTGATACACCAAGTTAATTTTCAAGTTCAAATTTTCCACGTGTGCATTGCATATGTATATATTGTATATTATATAATACACGAACGCTGAAAATTTAGACTTGAAAATTGATTGCGCGTATCAGAATTGATATTCACATCAAATTGATATACGCATATATACATATATTTCATAGAGAATAATATGTTATATTTAAATTAAATAACGAATTCATCTGCCGAGAAAAATATCCTATATGCACTCGTGATTGCACAAAGAGTATTTCAGAAATGCGACGCGATGTGCATTTGGTTCACGCGATTAGTTTCGATAGAATTCATTGATATTGCTTTCTATTGCCCGCATTGTTTATGACATTATATTGTTACGCACGCGCGTGCATTGAAAGATTCACATACGTTTAAGTAATTTGATCAAGCTAATTTCCTCTGCTCTAATTCTCTCTGAAACGGAGAACGAACATTTTCGGTTATCGCGGTAATCGTGGCTGCCACGGTCGTTCGGATTAATTTGCCACGAATCGCTTTATGTGGAATTAATTAGCTCGACGATCTACAAAAGGAAATCTCAAAAGTTTTCAATATTGAAATATCCCTGAGTGAGTGTAAGAACGTCAAGTTAAGATTTCATCCAAGTAAAGTTCGTTTATAATTAGTTGGATCGGAGATTACATTAGATTGAATTAGATTAATTGGCGAAAGAACTTGTCATTGAAATTTACATCTCGAAACCATTCTTTCCTTTTTTAATCGTTTATAGCTAAAATACTATACAGGGTGTTCCAGAATTGGCGGAAAAGTTTTTAATGGTAGATTTCTGAGGTATCATTCGGAGACGATTTTTCCTCAGCAAAAATGTCGAGACACCAATAATTTTCGAATTATAAGCAGTTGAAAATAAAGCTTCTTTGAAAACTAAGTCTTATGAAAATAAAATATTACTATACAAGACTACATTTTTCAGTTAATTTTAGATAGATTTTGCTTTAATAGAATTTTACAATATAAGGCTTAGTTATAAAGATACATAATAAAAAAAAATTTGAACATGGTAAAAATGATGTCCTCCCTCAACATTTTCACTAAGAAAAAATCGTCTCCAAATGATATCAGGAATCTGCCATTAAAAACTTTTTCGCCAGTTCTGGGATACTATGTATAATTAAACATTGATAAAAGATTTATTTGTTTGAGAGAACAATTTTATTTTTGATGAAAAGATGTGAATTAAACGCGTTTTTATTGCCAAATATGATTACCTAAAAAATTAAAAGTAATTAAAAAATTAATTGAAAAAATTAAAATGTTTATTGCAAATTTAGTTCATCTCTTGTAAATTCTTTTGCAAATTTGTAAATTATATCATTCGTAAATTCTATATAGAATAGATAAACGGATACGAGTGTGATTCCGAAGAAATGCGAGCCTATTCAGAGAAACTATCAGGAGACAGCGCCTCGTATTCGACCGGCCGTAAACAATTTTGCGAATGCATGCGAGAGATGCATTTAAACGCGGATAATACGGTGAATCACGAGCAGAGGGTAATAGAGCGGCGCTTGTAACTCGAATATTAACAGGGCCTTTGGCGCGATTCAATTTATTGGTGGGTGGGTGGGCGGGTGCATTACCTAAAATAGGATAGTCCAATGCTGACTCGTTGATCCCCGATCGTTCTACTGATTCTCGTTCTCAACGGCACCTTCCGTTTCACGGAGCCGCGTTTGCGACACCGGACATCGGCCGCGGGTGCGCAAACAAGTCCGTATATATATGTGTACGTCGGGACTCTCACACGTACGTGATACGCGCGTTCGTATGTGTCGGTGAATCTACACCTTCGCCACGAGCTAGGCCAAGTATCAACAGGTGCTGTCAGTCGTTGTTTCGCTTAATCGGTTTCTATTCTACTCGAGACTTCTAAGCTCCGTTTGGCAATTCGTGACACTCCCCTGGGAGGATCTTATGAGCAAACCTCGCAATTCTGATTTTAATGAAACTTTATATATTATATATATAGAGGGAATAAATAGATAATTTAGACATTTTTAGTTGAGGCTTTAAAAGGGGTGAAATCACTCTTCATATGTAGAATGGCTTTTTACTTGGATATATTTCGAAAAATATTTTATACAAAAGTTTTATATATAGTAAAAACAGCTACATTAATGATGATTAAAAAATAATTCTTTTAATCTTTAGAGAAAATTATTTTAAAAACTTTTATTAATATGATTAAATAGAGATATTCTTACTGTGAAACTTTTGTGTAAAACATTTTTGATATCACGCATATTTTTTGAGATGTATCAAGAAAAATCGTTTCATATATAAGAAGTGTTTTTTTGGACCACAATTAAAAAATTCTAAATTCATTTATTTACATATATTGTGTAAAATTGCATCAAAATCAGAATTATCAGGTTTATGAGGTTCCCTTGTTAGACTTTTTACGTCAATTTATGTAGAATCCGATCATGCAGCTTGTTAAAACTACAAATAACGCGATAACAAGAAGTAATTTTAGAGAATTTGTAGACGAATTCGAGTGCAATAATATATAATTGTCACACCGGTGTAATTTAACGTTCGAGAGCGATATTTTGCAATTTATATATATTTCAGGAATATTATATTTTAGATGAAAAACATTTTTTTTAAAAGTTTATATTTAAAAATTTTTATATCTTGCTTTTTTTCCCTTCGAAATGAAAACTTCAACGATTCTGCTTGTAATATAGAGAGATCGTGAGTTCTGCTTTTTAGTTTTTTTTTCCTAAAGCGTCAATTCGGTCCATTTTTTTCTGCGCCCCAACCAATTTTATACCACTTGATTCACATGTAATTGAAGACATGTCTCTCCACGAAGTGAAACAGTAATAAAACGCGTCGTAAGCGCGGTCGGCAACGAGATAAGTTTGGCATTCATTCCGTTTGCCAACGCCAAGCTCATTCTGAGATTGAATCCCGCAAAACTGACTGCGTCACAGTGTTATAATTAATTTATAATACCTCTAATTGCGCGGGGCCATGTCGGATGTGGCTGTCCGGACATTTAATTTGCTTGCTAATTAAACAGGCTGCGTCCTGTTGGTTCGCGATGGTCTCCACGCCACCCCAGGTTTATTCTTTCGAAATGCAATCGCTCGATTTTCCGCTCGTATCTCGCATTGTAATAAGAATAAATACGCGCGCACGTTATTTAACAACGAGATGCGTGCAAAAATATATGAAGAGGTAATTAGGAAGGAAAAGAGAAAAAAAGCCCTCCGAGATATATTACCGCGTTATATCGTTATATTATATTATCGCAAATATCGTCGGGGAGTTTCTCATTTAGTTCTCCGTGAGAGGAGAGTCCTCTCATGAATATTTCTCATTTCCACGCGGCAAAAGGGATGGCGGAAAAGGGCGAAGAGGGTGGATTTGCCGAGAGTGAGAAAGAGAGAGAGAGAGAGAGCGTTTCTCTATCTTACATCGCGCTGCAGATATGCCATGCTATGCTATTGCAGCTTGCCGCTGTCACGTTTTCTCACACCTGCAGTCCATTACATCTTCCCGATGATTCGTGAGGCATTCGTAGTTCCGATTCGTGCTTTTCACCACTACGTGTCCAGCATAGTTTCGCGCGCGAGGAGAGAGAAAGAACGTAATATGTTGGTAAAATTGCAGTCGCTTGAGCGTTATGTCGGGCATGAAAATGGCACGCACCCTCCCAACCCCCTTTCTGACCGAAATGACGGAAATACAGAAAGCTATTACACGCGAGATATAATAATAATAATAATAATAATGTATGATATACTTACGACGTATTATCTATATATTAACGTGTAATATGCGCGCATCCCTATATCGTTTTGCCGGACCGATTGCCACTAGTGCCAAAGTATAATCATTTCATATGACGCGTAATCATTTTACGAGCGCTATTAGCACATTACGCAATTATTACGGAAGTCCGAGCCGGGCCGCCCAACACGTGCAACGCCGGGATGATTATCGACAGACAGGTAACGATATGTTGATGGTCTCATTGCCGACAGCAGTGGCTGATGATATAGTAATGTACAGAGAGGGGTGGAAGAGACGGGGATTATCGCACGGTTTATGTATTTCAGAGAGACAATTGGCATGTAAAACAGCACGCTGCCCCCGCTCTGTTATAATTGTATTGTACTTTCAAAATCAAGTTGAACTTCATCGCGAGTATACTCGACATTGTTCCGACATTGTGCACCAAGTTGTATACGCTCGCGGCCTATTCCATTAACATTTGCATCGATTTATTGTCTCGCCAAGCATTCTGAATTAATGCAGATATTAAACTCCTTCGGTCACGTGCACCTTTATGCGAAGGGTCTAATAACAAGAGAAACTTCGCAAACCTGAAAATTTAGATTTTGAGTATACTTTACAACCATGTAGAGGGAATAAACAGATAAATTTAGAAATTGGTTGCGACCGAAAGGACCATCTAATAAATATAGAGCAATTGTTTATTTTTTTTTTTATATATCTCGAATAGTATTTGTGATATCAAAAAATGTTTGATATAAAAATGTTACCTCTGTTTAACTATATTAATACAATTTTGACAAAATAACTTTTCAAAGATTTTTAAAAGAATTTTTTAAAATTATTTTTTACAAATATTATTAATGTGATTAAATAGAAACATTTTTCATCATAAAACTTTAGTATAAAATATTTTTTGATATCTCGAATACTATTCGAGAATCGTTTCTGGGATTTAAAATTAAAAATGGAATTAAAAATGTCTAATTCTTTCTATTTATCTTCATGTGTGTATGCGTAAAGTTTCACGCAAAATCAGAATTCTCGGATTTGCGAGATTCCCTCTAAGTTTAATCTTTTTGATATTATTTATCGGTTCTACTCTTCATATTTTTCGTGAATATATTTTTTTATCGGATTTACTTTTTATTAGATATTTTATTGCGATCGGTCTATTATTAGAAATACGTCAAAATATATACGTAATTATGTATGATATAAGTATAAAAAGAATATTACATTGTAAATATTGTACTTTAGACTGAAAAGGAACAAGATACAGAAACAGGGAAAAACGAATCACAGTACGTGAAAATTCATATCGAATAAGAAAAGATCTCTAACACGTTCGCAGCTCGTTCGGTCGGAGAATCGATAGTAAATCGGTGAAGCGTGACGTGTCGTGGAAAAATGATGAAGTATTTAATATAAAGTTAATGTAGCTCACGAGGACGGAAGACTTGATCGATGCTGGTCATCAATCAGCTCTATATCTTGGGCAAATGTGCAGTCATTGATCCCACACTGTGTTTCACAACTTTTTGAGGTGCAACATGCAAATATAAAAAAACAAACTGCTGCTTTAGAATTATATCAATATACAATCGTATAAAATTATCAATAAAACTTGCGCGAAAAAATACAAGAAAAGTTTTATGCCACGATTGTCACGAATAAACGTAAATCCGGTGAAATTTTATCACTTTCTGTCGCTGTAAAATTGTAGTCGCTTTTAAAATAAAACGAATCGTTTAAAAGACACGCGGAAAGAGAGAGACAGGATTCTGAAAATATCGGAAGGATTCTGTAATGGTGTTGCCGTATAATTTTGGTTTGGCCGAATTTTGTATCCCGATACGTTCATTTGTTCGCCGATGCTTGGAATCTGCCATCGATGTGGCTGAATGAAGGATACCTGACATCGCCGTTATTGCATAATTATGCAAATTACAAAATCCCCCACCGCTCGACAATCGTATACGGATGTATTTCGATTGGCGCAAAAGTATTCGATATATATTTGAATATCGGGAAAAATATATATGAAACGGGTTAAATCAAATTTATTCTCTTCTCCCTCTGTGCTGCAACATTACCTGTCATATCCCGAGTCTGTGGCATGCCGCGCCAGTTTTGCAAGGGCTCGAATCAAAATGCGTCATATTCATACAGCGATAGGCTATCGAGTGTCAGAACATTTGGTCGGCATTTAATTTCGGCTTCAAAGCCCTTGCTTGATCCCGTTGCTCTTTTCGGTTTTTTTACAAATGGCCAAACCTTGTTCTAAATATTTTACATATGAGCAATTCAAAATTTGACAATGGCGATCTCGATTTTTAATCGATTTTCACAAAATCAATATCATCTCTCTCTCTCTCTCTCTCTCTCTCTCTCTTTTCTCTCTTTTTGTATTAATTAATAAGAGGAAAAACAGAAACTTTTACGAGCAAAAAAAATTGGATTCGCGGTGCGACGACAAATATTTTCTCTCGTCGCAATTTGACATTTCCTATCGGCATTTTTCTGTTATTATAAATTAAAAAATAAATAATTAACTAAAAACTTAATCGATTTATATTATGCATTTTCTTCGCGTTCAACCGATAGAGAAAAATTAATCGCGCGCCGATCCGTTGTGTGAAATGATCGCGAAAACCGCGTGCACATCCGCACAGAAATGCATACGTACCTTCGCGCGTCTGTATCCATGTGTATATATATATATGTGTGTGTGTGTGTGTCGTAGAAGCGTTCGTTCGTGTTTTTTACGGAGTCGTGAAAGGCCTCTCGCGCGTGGAGAACGAGTAGAAAACTCGTCGGTATATGGGTTGGTGTCGGTGCCGCAAAATCGGGGCGAAAGAGAGGGTAGTCCCGCTCTCGGGGGTTGCAAGGGGGTGGATGCGTCGGCGTGTTGCGCCGTAGCTTTTGCCGCGGCGCCTGGCAGTCCATTGGCGAAGCCCTAACGAGCAGCGGGCGAGATCGGAGCATTCCCACGGAAGGATTCATAAGAACTCGAGCGAGCGAAAGTGTGAACGTGTGGACTTTTTTTTCCCTCTTTCTCGCGCGCGCGCCTCGATCCGTTCTTTTTTTCTTTTCCTCGCTCTCTTTCTTTTTTTTTTTTCGATACATCGCCCGCTCCAGTTCCCCGGCGACGAGCCATCCCGGTGTGCTTTCGATATATTTTCGCGTCGCGTCGTGATATAAATAAAGCGTAGCAGCCGAAGTACGTAAACACAGGGGGATTCTTGAGAGACAGCGCTTGTGAAAAAGTGATTCGCGTGATTTCTGTATGTCATTTGGACGGAAAATTTGAAAAAAAAAAGAAAAAAAAGCGTGTTCTCTCTCCTCTTTTTGACGTACGAGCATCGTGAAATTTTAGTGCTTCTGGACCACGAAATCGTCGTCTGTCGACGACATGTGATACGTATACGAGAGAAAGGAAGATAAATCGCGCGTGATTTGCACGCCCGATTTCGAAACTAATCCCTTTTCGTATTATCGATCGTCGTGATTTCGCGGAGTGATCGTGTAAAAATTGGATAGCTCAGTTGGATGTCGCTCTTCCGTTTCTCTCTTCTCCCTTCATTACGTAAACGTAAGAATTATTATATTAAAAAAAATAATAATAATAATAGGCAAGTATTAAAAATAAATTCGAAAGAATTATCTTTTCAAAAGACAATCTTAAACTTCGTAATTTCGATGAATTTGTTACTTGGTGCTCGCGCACTCTCAACTTTTAATGCCCAATGAATTTTATATTCTTTACGTAAAGCCCGATGGCGCGTCATCGATGCGGAAAATCGCTAGATTAAAATGCGCGAAATAATTAACGATGTCTCGCGTAAATATTTGCTCGCGAGAAATAAAACTGCGGTATAAAAGACGATCGAAAGCGTCGCGCGTTTGAAATTTCTGCGATGACGGATGCACCACGTACGTACGTGAGTCCTCTTTTCGGCGTGTCACATAATCTTACCGCACGATTAACCCGCGTCACGTTGTTAGTCGCGGATTAAAAACTGTATACCGGTCATCGCAAAAGTAGGACACGTCCGGTCCCGCCCTACGTGGCATTATCTGGTTTGGTCGAGGAGCCAAGAGAGGAGATGGATAGAAAAAAAAGAAATAAAGAAAAAAAATTCGAAAAAAATGCACATGAAATTACGCGGAGAGAGATCATATGTGAGCTCCGTGACATGACTCGCACCATGTCGATTGTGCAATGGGATTGACATTACGAATGCAGAAATTTTCTGCGCCAGACGGCGATAGATTTTTTTATGACTTTCATCGAGAACCTTGTTTTTTTTTTTTTTTTTTTTTTTTTTTGGGACGAGCAAAAATGCCAAAGAGCCCGAATTTATGGGGTTGTTATTTAGATCCCGCGTGCAATTATTATTATTGATAACGAAATTATTTATATATCGGAAATTGGAATTTAAATAAATAAATTAACGGGCGAGTGTACCGGTATTTTTTTATGTTTTTTACAATGTTTTCACTGCTATTTGATTTGCTTATATTGATTTAATTGTAAGCCAAATTCGATTACAGTTAGTTTGCAAAACGTTGATGTTGCAAACATCAGCTTTCGGTATATTTAACGTGTTCCGCCTCGAACGTGAACGAAGGCTTCTATTCGCGCAATTGGATAGATAGATGGAGAAATTTCCTTCCTCTCTATTTATATTTTCCACTTTGATCGTTACTTTTTTGTAAATATTCGAAACGCGTTTACATACAATCGTATATACAGTCTTTCTCCTCTCTAAGTTCCAAGAATATTTGCACGTAAAAAAAAAAAAAATGAAACACGAGACGTATGAATGCAATATTCTGTCTCTATTTTATACAATATTTTTGTAGATAAGAATAATATATTTGTTCGAAAAATTCCAAGGAATTTTCGCAAATGCCTGATCCGTTCGCGAAATTGTAAATCGATGATGCGTCGGGAATTGTTTCGACAGATCGGACCGTGGTTTCGCCCGATTATTCTCGGTTATGGATGACGATATCCTTGATGTATCCCGTGATGTCTGATACAGGATACGCCTCCTGGATATCCACTTGAAGCGATTTCACGTAATGCCGCGGGACAGATTCTATTTCACAGCGATGACAGCGGACGAATCATAAGTGACGATGACGGAGGAAGTAAATAATTGTACGATTTAGCCGGTTAAGCGATGATGAAGAGGGTGGGAGAAGAGCAGTCGCGTTAATAGTCTCTAAATCGAGGAGTCTTCTCTCCGTAGCGGAAGGAAAATAAGTGTCAATACAAGGGAGAAGGTTGTGATAATTTTTTTTCGACCGAGTCGGAGAGTTTTACAGTGAAATCGCATGAAGACGAACGAATGAACGAGTGATAAAACGGCAGAAAAAGAGAGAGAAAGAGAGAGAAATCGAGGGGTGAAAATTAAAGAGGTGGAAAATCGGAGAAGAAATTTCTAGTCCCGCTAGAGAGAGAGAGAAAGAGAACGGAAAGGGAGACGAGTAAGTATATCGATAACGCATTGATCGATATATAATTATCTGCGCGCACTCTTTATTAGCACGTTTGCGTTTCCCTCGTCCGCGCGTAATCGATAACACCGTGATTTACATATTTTCCGATAACGCCGCATACTTCAGCGCATGGCGCGTTAGAGCTCCGTAATCGCATGTAATTATCCTGCATGCGTGTAACAAGCTCGGGGGATCGCTACCTGATTCACAATTTCAATGCTTTTAATTTGCTCTTCCTGCTGCTCCCCTCCTCCGATTTAAGGCACAGCATTTCGACACGTTAATTTCACCGGCGAACGAGCGTGCAATTATTCGTCAGTACATATCATCTGATGAGAACCGCGCGTACGTTTCGCGTTAATTAAATCCATAGGCGTGAATATTTTATTACGCTGCTTATACTGCGCCTGCCTTATTCGAATACACTGTTGCATATGTAATTATATGCCGTGTTTAAAAAAAAAATATTCTATTAATATTTTAGTTTTTTCTACTTTATTTAGAATATAAATTTTGTTCAATTATTATAAGAATTAAATAATAAAATTTGGTGTATATTGTACGAACATTTATTTCTAAAAAGTAGAACTCAATATAGTAACGTTTATTCGTATTATTGTAGTTTGTATTATTATAGCAGTCTCTCTTTCAATCTATTGTTACATATGTAATTACATATTGTTCAAAAAATTTTTCCAATATTCTATAGTTATTTTATTTCGTTCAGAATAAATTGTATGTGCGAATATCTATTTCGTGAAAATTATATAACTATAATTCAATAGTGACATTTATTCGCATCATTAATAGTTTTGCTTTCAATCTACTGTTACATATACAATTATAGATTGTTAAAAAATTTTATTAACATTCTAATTATTTTATTTCGTTCAGAATAAATAGTATTAAATTATGCGCAAAAATTGGATGGCAAAAACTCTTTGTGCAAGAACATTTATTTCATAAAAATCACGATTCAAGAATGACATTTCATTACTAGTCTTGTCTCTTAAATACATTGTTACATATGTAATTATAGCTTGTTAAAAAAATTCTATTAATATGCTAAAATTATTTTATTTCGTTCAGGATATAAATTATGCATAAAAATTGAATGACGAAAATTGTGCGAACACCTGTTTCGTAAAAATTACAACTCGATACTGATATTTATTCGTATCATTAATAGTCTAGTTTTCAACCTATTGTTACATATATAATTATTAATTGTTAAAAAAATTTTATTAACATTCTAGTTATTTTATTTCAATTGAAATTAATTGTATTATATTATTGCACAAAAATACACTATACTCTAATAATGACATATATTATAATTGCAGGTTGTTAAAGAAAATTCTATTAATATGCTAAAATTATTTTATTTCGTTCAGGATATAAATTATGCATAAAAATTGAATGACGAAAATTGTGCGAACACCTATTTCGTAAAAATTACAACTCGATATACTGACATTTATTCGAATTATCACTAACAATGGAATATTCGTCGTCAATTGAGATATAAAATCTGTAATCGCGATTCCGCAATATGGCATCCGGGAGGAGGAAGAATAAGTTCGCGCTTTAGCATACTCGTAGTTTTATCGCTCATCTTCCGATTTTCATTACATCTCTCTTACTCGTGAAAATATTTTAAGTGCGGGAAACGTAAGACGCGCGCGCGGATATCCCGTATAATATCCCCGTGATTTGCATTTTCACGTTTTGCCCACCCACATTAGAGAGGGGAGAACACTTTTCTATCTGCATTAATAAACGAGATTTGTGAGAGCCATTCGTTTCGGCGAGAACCGAGCGTGTAATAACCGGTTGCGAGCACACTCTATATCGCGAATTCGGATTGAATTTATTCATTGCGTGTAACCGCTCGCGCAATTGTTTCTTTATGCACTTTGACGGGGAGGGAGAAGGCGGGGGATGGAATCGCATCGGTGGATAATCGGCTGACACGGCATATTGTTAAATTAAATGATAAATTTTAAGCGATCAATTATTCAGCGGCTTTCCGCGAACATTAACGCTACCGTGACTGCATTTTCGGGTGATTAGATGAGAATTATATCGTACACACACACATGCACACATATATAGCTTATTTGCGACGAGATGAGGTGTCAGATAAATGCCTGTATTATAATATGGTCGTTACCTATGTACGTGATGCGCGGGCTTGCACAGGATGCCGCGCTATGCACATCCCACGTAAGGGTGAAAACGGGTCAAGAGGATCCCTCTACCGTCATAAGAAAGTTAATACCGCATATGTCGCAGCTTGCTGAGAGTGTCGGCAAGAAGGGGCCACTTTTAAATGATAAATTACTTCTAATGGCGTCAGTTTGCTGGCTGGCGCGAACTTTGATGAGTTTTTATCCGCCATGCGGCGTCGTCTACACCCCTTCTCAGGTGAAACGAAGGGGTGGAAAAGGAAGGGTCTCGCGCGTCTTACGCGCGCCCTTAATCCTGACAGGTTTAATCTTTGTCACGCTCAATTTTTTTGCGACGCATCCAATCTTTGTTAATACCGATATATATATATATGCCTCTTGTATATTAGGGGTTGCTCAGTACGAGGAGAGAAATTCATTTAATACGTGCGCTAACAATTCCGCTGCTATGATACATTTCAGTTAATGTTACGTTTCCAGCAAAACGTCTACCAGATGTGACTTTAATTTAAAGGTCTCTTACTGATATTAACGGCTCTCTCCCTCTTTCAACAATGAATTGTCGTTTGTGTTTCCCCTACACAAATGAATTCGCTTCGTCGCACGACTGTATGATTCCTTTAACCCGATTTACATCCAGGTTTAATTGGAAAAGTCGAAGAGACGCGTTTCTCTATCATTTTAAATAAGTTTTAATCGCGATGACATTCTCTCACGCACAGAAAAAATTGTATTCTTATCTCAAGTATATGCTTATATCTATAATCTCTATCATTAAAATAAGCGCCAAAAGGATCATTTTCGTTTAAGTGGAAAATTCTCTAAAAAGATATTTTTATTAGATATTTTTAACATGCAAGTATATATAATAGGATATATATATATATATTAATGG